AACTTTTAAAAAACTTTTTTCACCAGCAGGGGGACTGCCTGTCAGTTCAGGCAGCCCCCCTGCTGGCAGCACTATGGACCCAATGGATAGCACAGGACCCTCACCTACTTCACGAACACCTGTCTTGGACAAGGACTCTCCTGGGCAATCTGGGTTTCCTGATCAACTATGAGAAGTCGGTTCCTGAACCTTCTCGATCCATAGAATTTCTGGGATTCACCATAGATTCCGTGTGTGTGGCACTCCTATTGCTTCCCTCTAAGGTCAAGTCCATAAAGAATTAAATTTGTCGCACGCTAGCCCGACCTATACTGACCTCGAGACAATTGGCCAGAATCATCCGCCTTCTCTCAGCATCGATTCAAGCTCTATTTCCTGGCCCGTTACATTACAGAGCCCTTCAACGCCTAAAAGCCAAACACCTTTGCATGGGTCCCTTGTATTCAGACTCTGTTCCCCTTGAATGCACAGCCAAAGAGGAACTCCAGTGGTGGCTAAAACACATGGAAATGTGGAACGGGCGAGCAATCTTTGGAACCACGCAGGACTTCGTAGTTGAATCATAAGCAAGTACGCTTAGCTGGGGTGCGCACCAGGGGGAAATGTTTCATAGAAGAACAGAGGATGCATATCAATTGCTTAAAATTACTGGCAGGCCCGTTTACCCTGCGGAGCCTGGTGGGTGTGGCAGCCATCTGCTCCATCCTATTGTGTATGTAAAACATATCAGCAGTTCGTTACATCAACCATCTTGGAGGTACGAGGTCAACAGTCTTGACAGACCTGGCGAAGGAATTCTGGCAGTTCTGCCTAGATCACAATATCTTGGTACAAGCAGAGTACATTCCGGTGATGTCCAACGTAGTGGCAGATTGGAACTCCAGACATCTAAGAGATGCCAGTGATTGGCGACTGGATTCTTCCATCTTCCTACATTTGCAGTCAATATGGGGACCTCTGGACATTGACCTATTCAAATCTCGCTTGAACTCCCAATTACCAACGTTTTTCAGCTGGAGACCAGATCCAGGTGCCCTGGCATCAGATGCCTTCCTACAACCATGGCCGAACAGGACCCATTACGCTTTTCCACTATTCTCCCTGATTGCCTGGACTTTACTACACCTCAGACATTCTCGGACCTCCTTGATCCTCATAACCCCATTCTGCACAGTTCAACCACGGTTCCCTACACTCATGGAAATATCCATGGACACACACACTAACACACATACAGATGCACAGATACACACAATGACAAATATAGATACACATACTGACAGATACATTGACACACATACAGATGTAGACACACACACACATATACAGACACATACAGATGTACAGATACACAGAATGACACAGAGGTACACTAAGACAGATACAGATGTACAGACACACACACTGACACACATACATATACAGACACATGGATACACATACTGACACATACAGATACACTGACACACATACAGATGTACAGACACAAATACACACAATGACAAACACACAGTGATGCACAGACATACCGATACACACAATGACACACACAGATACATACTGACACATACAGATGGACAGACACACAGACAAATACACACATAGATACACATACTGACACAGATATACAGACGCGCACACACACACTGACACACATACAGATGTACAGATACAACAAATGACACATATACACAGACTGACACATGCAGATGGACAGACACACAGATACACACAATGACACACAGACATATTGATACACACACTCATACTAACAGATACACTGACACACATACAGATGTACAAACATGCATACACATACAACCACTGACACACATACATATAAAGACACATAGATGCACATACTGACTCAAATATACAGATGCACACATACTGACACACAGATACAAACAATGGCACCAGGTACAGCCATACTTTATACAATTGCAGTGAAGATACTAAAGCAACTGAGCTATTAAAAATTTGAATGTGTACAAATTAATTTGATTTAAGTAAAAAACAAAATAAGCAGTCACACAGTACGCACTTTGTGGTAGACCTACCTATTGTGTTGGTACAGTATGTTACTGGTATACCTGGTAGCACCTTTTCTCTAAGAACATAGCTACTACCACTTGTAAATTGGAAACCTGTTGATGTTTTTTGTACGCTTTTCTATGCCACAGAACCTTGTAATGAAGAGTCTTTCCTGTAACGATGGCTGTCCAAAAATAAAGAATTGATATAAAAGAATACATTTTGTCCATTAAACTAGCATTAAATTGGTCAGAAATACAGTGTAAACATTATTAATGTTGTAAATGACTATTTTTAGCTGAAAATGGCTACATAGGTGTACAGAAGCCCATTATCAGCAACCATCTGTCCCGTGTTCCAGTGGCACATTATCTTTGCCAATCCAAGTTTATTATTTAAAAAGGCTAACTGATCATTAGAAAACCCTTTTGCAAATATCTTAGCACAGCTGAAAATTGTGTGCTTATTAAAGAAGAAAAAATAGATTGGTTTCAATAGACTAGATGAGCATCTGGAACATCAGCTAATGTGAATTTAATTACAGGGTCAAGATGGCCAGAAACAAAAATCTTTTTTCTGAAACTTGTCATTCTATTCTTGTTCTTAAAAATGAAGGCTATCCCATGCAAGATATTGCCAAGAAACTGAAGATCTTTCTACACTACACTGTGTTCTACTCCCTTCACAGAACAGTTCAAATGGACTCTAAACAGAACAGAAAGAGGAGTGGGAGGCCTCAGTGCACAACTGAGCAAGAGGAAAAATACATTAGAGTGTCTAGTTAAACAGACGCTTCTCAGTTCTTCAATTAAATAGTAGGAGCAAAACACCAGTCTCAATGTCAGAGAAGAGGCAACTCCGGGATACTAGCCGTGTTGGCAGAGTTGCAAAGAAAAAGCCACATCTGACTGGCCAATAAAAAGAAAAGATTAAGATAAGCAAAAGAACACCAACAATGGACAGAGGAAGATTGGAAAAAAAGTGTTATAGACAGACAAATCTAGGTTTGAGGAGTTCTGATCACAAAAAAGAACATTTGTGAGACGCAGACTATATGAGAAGATCCTGAATGAGTGCTTGATGCCATCAGTAAAACACAGTGGAGGCAATGTGATAGACTGTGGGTGTTTTGGTGGTGGTAAAGTGAGAGATTTTTCTGCAGGGTACAAGGAACCTTGAAGAAGGAAAGCTATCACTCCATTTTGCTAATATTTTGTGGATTTCTATTTTTATTGTCATACTTTTGTCATATCATAGAATCTAAATATATGAATCTAAATATACAAAACCAAATACAATACAAAATTATATATAAAAATAAAGCAATGCAACGTTAGTTGTCCATGAAGACATATAGCAGAAACCTAGTTTTCCTGGTTTAAAGATTAAAGATTATGATGCAGAAAAAAACCAAACCCTAGCCCGATGTCAAAATTGTCATTATACCAGTAAAAAAAATGGCCACTATTGTAAGCTGATAAGAGCATTAATGATGGGAAAAGCAGGTAACTCACACTTTGAGAAAGACTAACTTTTTAAAATAAATTGTGTGCTACTTTTCACATCTTTTCGTGTAAAAGATGGGCTTTTACACGATTAAACTAGGCTTATTATATAGAGCTGGTACTCTTGACAAAGTGAGTGTGGAAACGATAGCCATTACATCTCTTAATAGAAAGAGCAATTGCATATTGCATTAGGGGACAATTGCTTATTAGAAACTGTCCAGCAGAGGGTTGTTACTGGAATAAAAGTATCTTTATTTATTTTGATTGCTTTTATTCTTGTAAGTGCATCGCTGTAACGAAGGTGTGGCTTTCTACATATAGTGTTGCACGGTTTTATTTTATTCGAGTTTCATATTGATGTGAATTTGGAGGAAAGAAGATTTGTTCATGCTACCTTGTCATAGAATAGCAAAAATATATTATTTTTGTTATGAACAATTCTATTATAAGTATGGTTTCTTGGCCTTTTTTTTGTTTTGTTTAATATTCTTTATTTTTGCAGTGCAAGTATTAAGAAACATACTTGTTGTGCCACAACAGCAAACCAAGCATAATATTGACAGCCAGTATAAGATATAGCATTGCATTCAGGGTAAATGCACAACTTTTAGTAGTAACACGTTAAATCAGCTATTGAAATCTAAAATGTTATGAACCACTGGGTACTAACAAGACAAGTGAACATAAAAACATGCATCTCTGTATCACAGAAGAGTATCACCCTGGTTTGGTGAAGATTCTGCCTAGGTCAATCCGCCTATGGCACTCAAAGTCCTGATTAGATAGGGCAGTTCAGAATCTGATTTTTCTTCCCTCACCTCCACCACTCGATGTGGAGATGGGCTGGCTTGCAGCTTAAAGAGCAGGAACAGTCCCTCATGTCATGTATGTTCAGTACTTATAGCCCAGACCTCATTAGTAGCTAGTGCCTGAGGTCCAAGGATCTCTTCTTCCCCATTGGAAGGCTTGCGAGCCCGCAGAGATTTCAGCCTTTGGGTTGCCCCTCGGTAATGTGGAAGGCGATGTGGGATAGCTAGTAAATTTGAGTAGTACTTTTACAGCACACTCCTTACTACCAATGTCTTCAATTGTAAAATCACTGGTCTGTCATTGGGATGTTCACATTCTTTACTAATTGTCTAAGTCAGCTAGTCCTCAAATGCCAGTTTAGTTACCTATTGCTCAATAGACTTAATTAAAAAATACGTTCTACCATGCACCACAACCGTGCAGTTTATTATCCCCATTTGCAATTTCAGACCCTTGGCAAAGGTTGAGATCACAAAGGTATCATCACTACTGCCACTAATTAACTGGCCCTGTTTAGGCAATTCCAAGCCAGTAAACAACTACCAGATATGCTGGTATAATTACCAGATTTTACTAATTTCATGACGTAAAGTCATGATTTTATGAAGGACACGGAGGCGAGTATTATGCTTATCTCTTTCTTTATTCCTCAGCAGCAAAAGAAAGGATATTTTAAATATTGTGGATATTCAAAGAAAAAAAATCAATAACATAATTTACCCCAAAGGGTTAACCACATATAACATATTAACCAATAAGAGTATTCCTAGCACAATAATGTCCCATTTGACCCTAAGCCACTCCTCTTTCTTGATGTTGCCGATAAACACTCCCATAGACAGAAACGATGTAATCCAAAAGATGTGTAGAAACTGTGATTCCAGGGAGATTATGGTAACGGAACTCCGGAGAACTGTCAATCTTCTGCTTGCACTTATATGGACAGACATGGACCAGAAAGACAACCCAATTAGGAGGCTGTAAGACAGAGAAACTAAATGGTAAAATACGTTCTTGGATAGTACGTTCACATCTATATTACAATATTAACCAAACAATATGTCAGTTCAGTACTAGTCAATCAGGTGAAAACAAAAACCACATTACCACACGGCTCGTGCCCCATTACGGGACAGTATATTCACAGGGAGGGCGCAACTTACCTGGGTTGGGTGGGATAATACTCACCTCCGTGTCCTTTATAAAATCATGACTTTGAATGTTTACATTGTGTGTTCAATAAAAACATGGCAACATTTAATTATTTGTGTGTTATTAGTTTAAGCAGACTGTGATTGTCTATTGTTGTGACTTAGATGATGATCAGATCACATTTTATGACCAATTTGTGCAGAAATCCATATCATTCCAAAGGGTTCACATACTTTTTCTTGCAACTGTATTTCGCTATGTTTTCTAGGGGATACCACTCCGAGGATCTCGGGTGTTGTAAGGTGTCGGGATCAAACAGCGGTTCGCCCTGAGGGTCAACCAGGGTGGAGTCGTTAAAGGACCACTCTAGGCACCCAGACCACTTCAGCTTAATGAAGTGGTCTGGGTGCCAGGTACCTCTAGGATTAACCCTTTTTTTAAATAAACATAGCAGTTTCAGAGAAACTGCTATGTTTATACTGAGGGTTAATCCAGCCTCCAGAGCCTCTAGTGGCTGTCTCATTGACAGCCGCTAGAGGCGCTTGCGTGCTTCTCACTGTGAAATTACAGTAAGAAGACGCCAGTGTCCACAGGAAAGCATTGTAAATGCTTTCCTATGCGACCGGCTGAATGCGCGCGCGGCTCATGCCGCGCATGCGCATTCAGCCGATGACGTCGCGAGCAAGGAGGAGAGGAGGAGGAGAGCTCCCCGCCCGGCGCTGGAGAAAGGTAAGTGTTTAACCCCTTGCTCTCTCCAGAGCCGGGCGGGACGGGGACCCTGAGGGTGGGGGCACCCTCAGGGCACTATAGTGCCAGGAAAACGAGTATGTTTTCCTGGCACTATAGTGGTCCTTTAACTCCATCTTTGGGGTCTGTTCCCACTACTGTCAAGGAGCTGTGCTCTGGAAAATAAATGCTGGAATCATAACGTACCCTGTCCATCTGTAGGATTTTGGAGGCATCCTCGTCTAGATGGCGAGACTTTTTTGCGGATTTACGCCCACTAGGGACCACCGGTTTACTCTCCGGGGGGTTCGCAGTGAGAGTAGGAGGTAATTGAGTGGACCTCAGTGCACTGGTGATTGACTGGGAAATATTATCTGACATGGCCCCCATAGCAGTATAAATGGCTTGAGTTACAGACTTTGCCATAGCAGCATCTAGGAGGGAATGCAACTCTTCAGAGTCCATTTTCTCTTGTGACGCTTCAATCAATGTGGGTGGTTTGGACACTGCTGGGGGCGTCTGGGTTATGGTGGCACTAGTGGCAGGGCTGGAGATATCAAACTCTTTACCGGATTGCATGTCTCTGAATTTTAATTGTAAGTGTGACAGGCGGCAAACTATTAAAAGGAGGGCCCGGCACTACAGAGATTGTAGGGCAAGGATGATTTATCCTAGTGACAAGGATTACAGTGGGAAATTTAAGACTACACTAAATCTGTTAAATAAGCACAGTAGTAATAGTAAAGCAAGCTCACGAGTGTTCCCTCCGAAATAAGCTCCTGGGGAGCACCAGTAACTTGCCTAGCAAGGGAGCCGTCTAAATCCCGCCCCCAAACGAGCAGTATTGGCCGCGCGTGGCAAAACTGCCAATCCTAATATGGCCGCCGCGATGCGCACTCGCGGCATTGATCACAGACAGAGCCGCGAACCGCGGAAAACGGTACCCGGTGCGAGGAGGGAGCTTCAGGCTGAGGTTCCCAACTAGGCAGGAGGTAAACCTGGTCGGAAAATAATAAAACGGACCAGGTGACTGAGGGAAAGCAGGGGTGGGGGAGGGAGGGAATGGAGGAAAAAAACAATAATTTACCACAAAAGGACAAGTAAAAGCATAAATAATGCAAAAGTACCCAACTATACAGACATAATTAGACAATTTTCCAGATTATGAGAGAGATGTAAAAATTGTACTTAGCTGAGGAGGCAGCAGCAAAAGAGAGAGGAGTGGCTTAGGGTCACATGAGACATTATTTTGCTAGGAACACTCTCATTGGTTAATATGTTATATGTGGTTAACCCTTTGGGGTCAATGATGTTGCTATTGAATTTTTTCGTTGAATATCTACAATATTTAAAATATCCTTTCTTTTGCTGCTGAGGAATAAAGAAAGAGATAAGCATAATAGGAGCCTCCGTGTCCTTTAATAAAATTCAAGTCCTTTAATTACTGCCGCCACAGACCAACTGTGATATTTGAATGTGCTAGTATCAGTGGCGTACTAAGGGGGGGGCGGGGGGGGGCGGTCCGCCCCGGGTGCCAGCCGGGTGGGGGGTGCCATGGCCAGCCCCGCCGCCCCTTCCCCCCCCATGCTGCAGCCGCCCGAGCGCTCTGTAAAGAGCCTCAGGCGGCTGCAGCTTTGCCCGGGCGGTGCGTCCATGAGGGCGGACCGCACCGCCCGGGCGCAGCCTGAGGAGAGGCTGACAGGAGGGAGCGCTCCTGTCAGCTCCCTCACTGCAGCATGCTAGTCCGACGGGTACAGAGAGCAGCTGTCTCCTGTACCCGGCCGGACTAACAGGAAGTGCACACTGAGTGTGCACTTCCTGTTAGTCCGGCCGGGTACAGGAAACAAAAGCTCCCTGTACCCGCGGACTATACAGGGCTCGGCCACGCTACAGGGAGGTAGGGGGGAGGGGGAGAAAGAAGGGGGGGGAGGTGAGAGAGAGAAATAAGGTGAGAGAGGGGTGAGAAAGAGAAATAAGGGGGTGAGAGAGGGGTGAGAAAGAGAAATATGGGGGTGAGAAAGAGAAATAAGGGGGGGTGAGAAAGAGAAAAAGGGGGGGTGAGAAAGAGAAATTGGGAGGAGGAGAAGGAAATTGGAGCGGGAGGAGAGATTGACATTCATCACATACACACAATGCACCCCTTGCACACAGAAAAACACACAGACACACATACACAAGCAATGCAACCGTTACACACAATGCATCCCTTACACACACAGAAACACACAATGCATTCATTACACACACTCAATGCACCCCTTACACACATTCAATGCATCCCATACATACACAGAAACACACCTTGCAGCCCTTACACATACAAACACAATTTCACACAATGCATTCCTTACACACATATCAGGACATCCCCTACACACTCCACCCCCTGTGAACAAACTCATTGGTGGAACATGAAGGTGGACCCTGGGACCCAGACCTTGAGCTGTGTAAAGGACCCCCAAAAAATGGAGCTGCTTCCCGTTCTCCCAGAACATTGATTTTTGTGACCACAGTTACAAACCGCCTCCAGAGAGCCTGTTCTGCACCAGACCAGTGGAGCCAGACTGCAGCTAGAGCCCATCATCATCCTCATCTGGTTGTAAGTAGGCAATCTAGTATATTATTCGTGGCACTAAGCTCTAATTTACCTCACATTAAAGAAACACTATAGTCCCCAGAACCACTTCAGCTTAATGTAGTGGTTCTGATGTCTATAGCCTGTCCCTGCAGGCCTTTTAATGTAAACACGGCGGCACTGCAGCACTGGCGTTAGTTAACATGGCAAATCATATGGCTGGGACATTGTGATGTCACATGGGGGACGGCAAACTTTACTTTTGCCTTTGGCGGCAAAAATCCTTGTACCGGCCCTGGCTGGAGGGGGCTGTGTGAGCTGTGGCCGCACAGTGTCCCATGGTAGTTAGGGTGATGTGTAGTTAGGAAATGTGTATGTGTGACTGTCTGCCTGTGACTGTGTGTGACTGTCTGCCTGTGACTGTGTGTGACTGTCTGTCAGTAACTGAGTGTGTGACTGTGTCTGTAACTGAGTGTGTGACTGTCTGCCTGTAAATGTGTGTGTGGGGCTGCAGGGATTTTGTAGAAGGGGTGGGGTTTTTGTATTGGGACAGGAGTCTTTATAAGGGGGGATAAGCAGGGGATTTGTGGAAGGGGGTTGCGGGGGTTTTGTAGATGGGGCAGTACAGGATTTGTAGAAGGGGCAGGACAGAGGTTTTGTAGATGGGGCAGGGCAGGACAAGGGTTTTGTAGGAGGGGCTGACAGCGGTTTTGCAAAGTTTACAAATTGTAAAAATAAAAGAAATAAAACCTTTAACATTTTTTTAAGGTTTTTTTTTTTGGGGGGGGGAGGGTGGGGGGTGCCAAGCACAGGATCCGCCCCGGGTGCCAAATGCTCTAGGTACGCCCCTGGCTAGTATGCTGCTTATTGCAAATATGATCATTGTGTTACTAGCTGTTTAACAAGGGAGAGACATATCCATGAGTTCATGAGAATACAAAGATGTCAATATCCTATGATAAATTGAAGGGAGCTTATTTCCTAGAAAGAGGCCCAACAAATTGCTCCTCTCAACTATCTCACCTCGCCAGCCTCCTGCCCACAGACTATAGTCCTGATCTCAAGAGCCCCTAAAGTGGGTATGGGGCTCCGAACACTTACTGTGCTTGCCAGCCGGATACTCTGGATATATATTTTGTGGTGGTATGGTCTAGGGAAAGGGGGTTCAGGCAGACATTTTCGCTGGCCATCCTCTGGCAGGTGGGGCTCCGGGGAGGGGGACTGCCTTCCTCCCCATCTGCAGTTTGAGCTTCCGGGAGAAGAAGTAGTCAGCCTCCCTTCTCACAATCTAGGGAGAGAAAGAAGTTGGCCTCTCTCCCCAGCAGGAGAATGGACTCCAGGCCCCCTAAAAGGGCATGGGGGCCACAGATTCTTTCTGTGCCTACCAGCCATACCTTATGAACTGGACTCTTTTTACACATCGAGTGCCTGACTAGGACATACTCAAACTATTCCTCGTATTGGGACTGTGTCATGGTCTGGTCAATCTTTAAAGGACCACTCTAGGCACCCAGACCATTTCAGCTTAATTAAGTGGTCTGGGTGCCAGGTCCTTCTAGGGTTAACCCATTTTTTCATAAACATAGCAGTTTCAGAGAAACTGCTATGTTTATGAATGGGTTAAGCCTTCCCCTAATCCTCTAGTGGCTGTCTCATTGACAGCCACTAGAGGCGCTTGCGTGCTTCTCACTGTGATTTTCACAGTGAGAGCACGCAAGCGTCCATAGGAAAGCATTGAGAATGCTTTCCTATGTGACCGGCTGAATGCGCGCGCAGCTCTTGCCGCGCGTACGCATTCAGCCGACGGGGAGGAGAGAAGGAGGAAACTCCCCGCCCAGCGCTGGAAAAAAGGTAAGTTTTAACCCTTTCCTCGCCATCCAGCCTGGCGGGAGGGGGACCCTGAGGGTGGGGGCACCCTCAGGGCACTATAGTGCCAGGAAAACGAGTATGTTTTCCTGGCACTATAGTGGTCCTTTAAGCGGGTATTGCTCTGTTCTCCGATATCCAATGGAGGTCAATTTGTGTGCTATGTCTCTAGGACTGCGAGGGCACAACAGGGAGCTGATTGTATTAGCTGTAGATAATTTCATTAAGTGCCCCGTCAGAGCGATTGCTTTGTATGGATCAGCCACTACATTAAAATTACTGACAGGTGAAGTGAATAATATTGATAATGTTACAATGGCACCTGTCATAGGCAGGGGTATATTAAGCAGCAGGTGAACAGGCAGATCTTCAATTCCATGTATTGGAAGCAGGAAAAAAATGGGCAAGTGGAAAGATCTGAGTAACTGACATGGGCCAAATAGTGATGGCTAAACAACTAGGTCAGAGCGTTTCCAAAACGGCAAGTCTTGTGGGGGAGCTCCCGGTACGCAGTGGTTAGTATCTACCAAAAGTGGTGTGAGGAATGACATTCATTATCAGAGTCATGAGTGCCAAAGTTCATTGATGCACATGGGGAGCGAAGGCTAACCCATCTGGTCCGATCACACAATGGAGCTACTGTAGCTCAAATTGCTGAAAACCTTAGTGCTGGCCAGAAAATAAAGGTGTCAGCACACACAGTGCATAGCAATTTGCTGGATATGAGGCTGCATAACTGCCGACTGTCAGAGTTTCAATGAGGACAACGGTGAGAGCGGCTTCAGTGGGAACATCAGACCTGGATTATGGAGCAAGGTTGATAATTTATGTTTTCTTTTATATCAGGTGGATGGACAGATGCATTTACCTGGGCAGAGATGGCAGCAGGATGCACTATGGGAAAAAGGCAGGCCGACAGTGTTATACTCTGGGCAATGTTCTACCGGGAAACCTTGTGTCCTGGCATTCATGTGGATGTTACTTTGGCACCTACCTAGAGATTGTTGCAAAGATCATCAGATCACCTCTATCAGCAGGATTATGCACCCTGCCAAAATTGTTCAGGAATGGTTTGAAGAACATAAAAAAGAGTTAAATGTATTACCTTGTAGGGATCGACCGATTGTCGGTTTTGAAGGTTATTATCGGCCGACATTCAGATTTTTTGTATCGGCTCATAATCACCGGAAATACCGCGTCCATAAGGCATTTCCATTTTGTGCATTTACCACTTAAAAGGACACTCCAGTGCCAGGAAAACAAATCGTTTTTCTGGCACTGCAGGTCCCCTCTCCCTCCCACCCCCCATCCTGCCGATGTCGCTCGGCAGTGGTTTAGGGTCCGCCCACTCTCCCCCCCACCGACGTCAGCCAGTGGGGGAGACCGATTGCGCATGCGCAGCAATGCCGCGAACGCGCATTAGACCTCCCCATAGGAAAGCATTATAAATGCTTTCAATGCTTTCCTATGGGGATCTTAGCGACGCTGGAGGTCCTCACATAGCGTGAGGACTTCCAGCGACGCTATAGCACATAAAATCTGTGCTATAGACCAGGAAGTGCCCTCTAGTGGCTGTCTAGTAGGGTTAAGGGTAGTGGGAGTTGGCACCCAGACCACTCCAATGGGCAGAAGTTGTCTGGGTGCCTGGAGTGTCCCTTTAATAAAAAAGATTTGCAAAAAAAAAAATGTTTCTTCTCAAAAAGGTAAATGTACAGAATATCGGTAAGTTATCGGCTATAGGCCTGACTTATCAGTATCAGCTCTAAAAAAATAAAAATAAATTTTGGTCGATCCCTATTACCTTGGCTTCCAAATTCCGCAGATCTCAATCAAATTGAGTATCTGACGAATGTGCTGAAACAACAAATCGGATCCATGAAGGCCCCATCTTGCAACTTGCATGACTTAAAGGATCTGCTGCTCATCTCTGGACACATTCAGAGGTCTTGTGGAGTTCATGTCTCAACACATCAAAGTGTTGTGGCCACACAGAGGGGCCTACACAATATTAGGCAGGTGGTTTTAATGTCGTGGATGATCAGTGTATGAATATATGGTCAATAGAGCGAAGCAGTGTTTATTTAAAACTATAACTTGTGTGGGATGCCTATGTATTTCACTGTAGAGTAGGCCCACACTCGAATATCTTGCTATGGTATATCCATACTACACCTGTATTATGTCACAGAAAAGTGAGCGTGACTTTATGATTTCACATACTCCCTCACTTTCGCTTCACTACCCCCCAGTTTATCATATTTAAAACGCTAGAACTGAAACTTTAAACAAGTACGTATGTGAAACTAATTGAAATGCTCTCAATTAAAAGATGTCAGAGAGGTATATTAGGGTTAGTCATTGAAAGTAGGGCATTACTGAAATTCTTATTAGACTAATTTACATCTGGTCACTATTTAAGTAATTAAGTCTTATTTACTCAAACATACTACTTCAAAAATATAGGTAGAGGCAAAAAAATGCCTACAAAATTCCATATATAAACATGCTGTCAGCATTGAGAAAGGGCTGCTGCTCAAAACGTTTGCAGCATTAAAGGACCACTATAGGCACCCAGACCACTTCAGCTTAATGAAGTGGTCTGGGTGCCTGGTCCAGCTAGGTTTAACCTTTTTTTCTATAAACATAGCAGTTTCAGAGAAATTGCTATGTTTATATAAGAGTTAATCCAGCCTCTAGTGGCTGCCTCGCTGACAGTCGCTAGAGGCGCTTCCCACTGTGAAAATCACAGTGAGAAGACGCCAGCATCCACAGGAAAGCATTATGAATGCTTTCCTATGAGACTGGCTGAATGCACGCGTTTCCTGCCGCGCATGCACATTCAGCCGAGGAGGAGAGCTCACCGCCCGGCGCTGGAGAAAGAGGTAAGTTTAACCCCTTCCACCCCCTAGAGCCCGGCGGGAGGGGGACTCTGAGGGCGGGGGCACCCTCAGGGAACTATAGTGGTCCTTTAACTTTGTCCTCAAATAAATTGTGGTAGCACCTGGGTGTGCACACCTATACTGGACGCGCAGGACTCGTGTTTGTTTTTTGGTTACTACTTCAAAGCCGTGTTGCTCTCAGTATTATTGCTGTATGGTGCAGCAGAATATTGATTTGTCTAGTTTTACATGTATTTCCTACACTCCTAGCTGGTAAGAGTTAGGGAAGGAAAGTCTGTATTACAGTTTGAAGGTCTCAAGCTGCACAATGCACCAATGACCAGACCCTAAGTTGCCAGTTCACCCAGGAGAGAGGGGAACCTGCAGTGTGCCAGGACTCCAGCAGCCACATGGTGTGAGGGGCGCAATGAGCCCAAGGCGGCCATTTTTAAAACGGGCAACCTCCCCAATAGGGGGAAAAGGCTACCATTCGCCATCACTTCCTAATAAAGCCATTGCCGGCCCTAATACATGGAGATTCCTCCATATACTCCCCCACACGAAATGGCCCTAAATTATCGTTTCTCTCCAGTTGACACCGACAGACAGAAAGAACGCGGGTCAGTCAGTCAGAAACCCGCGCGCCTGCTCTAATGGCGGGAGCCGCGCTCTCGCGCTACTTACTCTGACTCCGCCCACTCCCTGAATTCCCCCCCCCTCTCCCGAGCGACGTGAGCGCGCGTGCACCGTGCGCGCCCCCGCCCACTCCCCTGGCTGACGCGCGCCCCCCGCCTCCCTCAATGTGTGTGTGTGTACGCGCGCGCGCGTGCTGTCAAGAGAGGTCTGGCGGGCAGGGGGAAAGGCTCTCGGAAGCTCAGTAACCGGAGATCGAGGAGTGAGAACGGGAGAGGCTCAGCGCCACAGAGTAAGTAAGTGAGTGACCGTCCTACCCAGCCAGCTACCCCCCCCAGCATTGCCAGCACGCTGCCCACAGCGATCCTCCATCCGCCTGCATGGCAACATGGCAAGAGCCGCACACGGAGAGTCACATGTCTCCCCCCTGGTGCTCTGATACCGGGCTCTGATACCGGGCTCCGATACCGGGCTGTGCGAGCCTGGTAACGGGATGTGTGATTGCAAGCTTCGCGGGTCAGTGCTGCCAGCCCAGGCTGCTGCTATCCCATGTATTGCTCTCTGTAGCTATAGATATAGAGAGAGACAGATATCATGTTCATACTGATAGGAGGGGACTGGAGCCCACATAATAGGCGAGGATGTGACTCATGGGCTGCAGAGCTTGCAGTCTGTTCCTGGAGGCTCTTTTTTTATTTAATTTTTTTTCGGAGAACGGAAATCGGGCTTGTCATTTCTTGCATGGAATGGGAGTATTGTACATGAAATGTGCTCAGTGGGAGCTTTAAAACTGAATTTTACACACACACACACACACAGATATATATAGCTATATAAATAATAAATAAAATAAAAAAATATATATATATATATTTTTTAGGTATGAGAATTGTTCTTTAAAACTCCCAAGCTGGAGATTTTTATTTTTATTTTATTTTATTATTTTACATGTCACAAATTGGTGGCTTGTGTCTTTTCCTTCTGCATTTTCTATTTGTCACTGCAGCCTTCTTAGCAAATAGCTATTGGTTGCTCACAAATGTCACAAGAACTGAAGCTAATGGATGCAGTCATGATAGTTGTGTATTTGTGTTTTTTTTTTATCTTGAAATAGATTGTTGCATTACATTAACTGCATGGAAGATCTTAAAAGATCATTTCAAAATGTCATAGGATTCCAGTATCCCTTTCCCCTTTTTTTTTTTTTTTATTTTTTTTTTTTTTACCTCTAATACCTCCAGAGCTGTATTTTCCTGAATGATATCCTGTTTCTTAGTGTGTGTGCATGAGTATTTATATTATTACTATTTTATAATGCTTGGGTAGCAATTGTAGTCACCTGTATGTTTCAGAAATATTCAATTGTTTACATTTAAAATACACTGCAAAAATTTCAAATCAAATGCAACATGTATCAGTTATGTTGAATATTAACACCCAATATCCCCAGTACTTGGTCTGAGGTTGCCTTTCCTTATATATTTCATTTTTACTAAATACATATACAATGAGGAGGAATAATTTTGTCATTTACAAGGTCACATAAGCTCAAGATTAAGTTCGGTTCTCGGACCAACTCTTTATGCTTTGTTGTGCATGATCACACATATCCATACAAGCAGCTAGCTCATCAGGAGTCCTGACGTACTGAAGCGACTCTAAGACACTTTGTCTTAGTGTAGAATGAATCACCTTGACAATGACCCACAGATGACTTGTTATTCTTCACAAACTTGTTTTCTCATAGACATTGTTTAGAAATGAACCAGTCAAACATTTTTTAGCACCTTGTGATTTTTATTTTGCATTTATTTATAAAAATAACAATCCAAAAGGTCAATTTGAAGATGACATTGACACTGTGCATGTTTTACCTGTTAAAGGCCTGTGATGAGTATTAAACGTGCTCTTCCAGTCATTGAAGGGTTGCAATAAATAGCCTTTTACACGGGTAACTCCATATAGCATCATCGTAATAAATTACTCCACTCAAAAGAAACCTCTGGCTGGCTTAGAGTATTTGATATCATCACATGATGACTCCAATGCTGTATATGATGAGCTATCCCTGATTGTGAATGCCCTCTAGCATGTAAGCTCATTGAGCATTGCCCTCAACCCCTCTGTTTCTGTGCATCAAACTTGTCTGGTTACAATTACATGTTTGTTAGGCCACCCATTGTAAAGGGCTACGGAATTTGTTGGCGCTATATAAATATAATAAGTGGTTTGGCATTCCTTCTGTGGGTTAGACGTGTCCAAAAATAATATATTGGGGTTCTCCAACCTTAGAAACCTCTTAAAGTGTGTGTGTGTGTGTGTGTGTGGATGTATTTTCCATGTGTCTGTCTTTGGCATATGTACATGTAAGTGTAATATTAATAAAAAGGTTTTCCGATTTTTATGCAGCAGAATGACTGTTGCACAGTGGTGAATTAGACAGTGCCCTATCTGTAAAAGGGTTAAGTATTTTCAGCAGTTTGTCACCTCCTGTCTTGTGTTTCACATCTGTAGAGCTCCTGTCAGGATCTCTGGCATGGAGTTTGGGAGTAAATTGGAGACTAATCTGTGCCATTATTTCCCTTGTACGATTAATAAACAAAATCTCCCTGTTTGCAGTAGTAATGCTTTATACAAGGCTGTTATGTGCATGTTTGAATAGGTAAGCTCTCTGTCTTGAGGGAGGGGAGCACTAATGTTCTATTAAATCCAGGAACTTAGTCTTTTTTGGTTTACAGCCAGGAAATAGCACATGGAGGGAGAGAAATGTTATGAGGCCAAAGAACTCAGCAACTTGTTAATTTTTCTAAATTGAATGGAACATTAGAGATCTCATGTACGGTATGGTTTTTGGAGGACGTGTGCACTGTCTTACTAACGGTTTAACACCCAAATTACTTTAGATCGTGTACGTATGTTTCCAAAACATTTCTCTCTATAATAGGCGAATAAGAGGCTGAGAGAATCAGCTGACGCTCTCAGCATATCACCGGCACTGAATGAGAGGTGTCTGCTTTGAAACCAGAGGAGGACAGGTGCCATCAAGAGCACTTTAAGGTTAATCTTCTAATAAATTATTCACCTCTTCACGGTAAGGTAGGGCCCAGGACCTCCAGGCACCATAACAACTTCATTGAGATGATGTCAATATGGTGCTTGAAGTGTTCTTGAAGCTTGCAGTCATGGTATACCCACAACATTGACTGCAATGTTTACTTTGTGGCATGGTACCGAATATATTGCTATAATTTGTTGTCATAATATGGTCAAAAGAAAATTGTCTTTGTTATATCTGCAGGGCGAGCTAACCACAGCCACTGTATCGGCAAAAAAGTAAAAGTGTTTTTTCCTAAAACAGTGTTTTGCGCTCTAAATTTTCAAGTATCTGAGTAGCTGTCAAAGCTCAGGGGTGCTTGATAGTTTTACACGAAGATTCAGAACAGTTTTGCTGACATTGTTTCTGAGCCTTTTCTTTTTCTTTCTCTAAATTGTGATATTGTTATAATCATTTGCTGTGAGAAAAGTCCAGCAGTACAGTAAGCCTGTAGTTTCCCCGGGAAGGCTTACCCAAGCACGTGTTGGAACAAGATGTTTAAAACACAGTATAGATTTGTTAGCACAGGCAAGAATTCACAGATTGCCTCATTTTTGCTTGCTTTAGAAACGCTCATGTTTGCTGAACATAAGGCAGTTCTTGGAAAGATTAATACATTTTGTACACCGGTGCTTAAGAGGAAAAAAAAGGGGAGTGTGCAAAAGTTTTAACTGTTTTAAAAACCTGGATGTTGTACTAGTAACTTATAGATGACATTGATAATTGAATAAGTATATACTATTGTCTGTAAAATAAAAATTTTAAGAGCAGTTTTGAGGGAAAAGTTTTATTTGAGCAGTAACACTGGAGACAAACGGTATATACTAGCTTATTTCTCCACTTAATTTTTTTTTTATTTGCCCCGTGATAGGTTCTTATAAATAAACTACATAGAAATCATCTGTTTCTGACTCATTGTGTAGGAGTTTTGGAAAAGTTTAGAAGATGAGTGTTTGCTTGCACTGAACTAAAGGAACCATGGAGAAGGTTCTTGTACCAACATGACTGTGCTGTTGTGCACAAAGTGATATCCATGGAGACATGGTTTGATGAGTTTGGCGTGGAGGAACTTGAGTGGACTCATACAGGGCTCTTATGTCAATTCCACTGAACCCCTTTGGGTTGAATTGGAACACTGGTTGTGAGTCAGACTTTTTTGTCCATCATTAGTATCCAGCCTCACACATGCTCTTCTGGCTGAATGGCTCACAAATTCCCTCAGACACATTCCTATATTGGTAGAATAAAAGGGGGAGGGAATTCAGGTAGGCGAAATATGTAAAAGAAAGTAAGATAAAGTGCAGAATATAGTATAGTATGTTGAAGTTCAGGAGAATTAAATCAAAAGTAATGCACTTACAGTTTTCTGGAGCTGATAACTAGCTCCAAATGTATGTGCCTGGACGGTACAATCCCCGCCTGTGGATATACTTGGTGTCTTGATCCAATGGGAAAATTCCGGATGGTATAGAATTTAGTGTAGTATGTTCAAAACACCAGAATAAAAAAAGTATTTATGTGGATGTACACTCACAATTTACTGAGCCCACTATTGGCTCTGTGATGCGCATATTATGAGGTAGTTCACAAACTTAGGTGTACAGGAGTTCCCACTCTATTGGTTTACATAGTCATATATTATATTATATTTTATATTTTATTTTGATTCATTTGAATCTTTGTTTTTATTTGTTAAGATTTATTTGAGTTTATTTTTGTCCAATAAATTTCTTCCTGATCCTTTGGAAACTGACCTATTTGCATTTTTATCTTTCATTTGGAAGTTAAAGACACCAGGAGGATACAAGAAGAGGGCAGTGGATCCCTTTAAAGATCCCAAGGCGTATATCACTAGAGCCAGGTGACCCTGTGGCTCTATATTTGTGAGTTTACATTTTATATGCGTATTGTTCTCCATTTTTCCTTTGCACCACATTTGTCTGCACTATGATTTGGTTGTCTGTTATTTGCAGGCTATAACATACATCATATCTACAATTGTACAGGTATCTTAGTGCTCCACTTATTTTTGTATTTTTTTGTTTGTGATTTGTGAAGGTTAAGGGAATCCTTTACTTAAGTGTAGAGCCTAATTTCACCTTTCTGGTGGAGTGTGCACTTGTTTTGTTTACATATTGGTTTACATAGCAGCAGATTCTCACCAGAGATATATAAATAAAAATATAGTGTTCACTGTTAAAACAGGTAAAAATAAGATGTACTCACAAGTGGAGAGCAAAATAAGTTTTGCTCAATCCGTATGGTATTGGTGGTATAATCCTCTCCAAGGAATGTGCTGGTACAATCTTTTGGTGGAAATCAGGAAGGTCCAAAATTAGGTGTGCAAAAACACTAATTTTTTTTGAAAATAAAATGTAAAAGCATAAAAGAGTAACACGAAATCGTTTCACCTTATTGACAGGCTTTCTCAAAGTGTCTTATATCTAATGCCTTCCCAGAAGACTTCATATTCATATCTAATAAGTTCATATACATGTAATGAATGGCCAGTTGTCCACATACTTTGGCCATATAATGTATGTCACTGCTTTGGAAAAGCATTCTGTCTCTGCTGGTAGTGATATATTCAAAGGTTGTATTGTCAGTGTGTTGGGAGGAATTAATGTCATCACATCCTACTGGTACTGAGTTAGAATTTCCCCCAGTCTTTTCTTCCCAAGGAGAATATTTCAGGGAATATATTCCTATCTCTCCTTACCACAGTTTCCAAGAAGGCACATTTTTGACATCTTAGCCCATTTATGACACAGTAAAATTGTCAAGCTCTGCATAGTTGGGTTGTTGTGGTGGTTATGTTTTTTTTTTTTTTTTTTTTATTCCCTATTAAGAGAAAATAATTGTTTAAAGCAGAAGTCATTGTGAAAACCTATAGTATTATTTATACTCTCTACTGATTATCTCTTCATCTTTAGAACTTTACCCTGGAATTTAATTTTATAAACAACCCCTATGTTTCCTATCCAGTTCTACTTGTCATTTATAAAGTGACTTCCACCACACGTCTCTACATTAGCGATGTACGTATGCTAAAACCAAATCCTAGCAGAGTTTTAAAAACAAATAAAAAATAATCTTTACATGTAGGATGAGATTTGTTGGGTAGGGTCTTGAATTAAGGCGTGACACATTTTTCCTAGAATCTTAAGAAATCTGTATGTTCACACCACCAGCAGAGATGGCTTTGGGGCTCAAATGTACTTCTGAGCACCTGTATTCAGTTTGAGTGAAGGGACGATGTACATTACATCTTCTTGGCCGGGGAGTCTAAATGTCTCAGCCAGCTGTATGCATGCAAAACCACTGATTTGGTCCCTTCACTTGTACATGCGTATATATGTAGTCACCTGCTTACCTATTCTGCAGCATGTTTGCAAATTATGCTCCCTCTTCTGCAGGGTAACAACAGTATCAATGGATACAATCGCCCATCCACACATGACTGTCCTTTATGACCCACACTGGCATCAGAATCAGTGGTGGTTGTTACTCTACCCTTGCAATGCATTAAAGGGTCTCTCTGACTACCATACTAACTTTTCAACGTTGCATTTTGGTGTATCAGTTACCCTGTCTTACCACAGCGTTGCTTATAAGAGCAGCATTTTGCGACAATCAATGCATTCCTAAGACTAGATGGAATAAAATTGCTTCATACTTTGCCATTTAACTTTCATGCAATCTGGGTAGATATGCCTCTCATCCATTTCCTCTCTTTATATAGTAGACCATGAGATTACTGCTCATTCACAAAACTGTGACCTGAGTTGTAAATTGGCTTGTAGTAGCCATGGTACTGCCAGGTTATTCATCAGGTCCTCTCATTATATGTTGAGTGGAATTCTTTTTTGGGGGGTGGTTAATTATCTACATAATACACTAAAATGTCAGTCACATCTTGTCTAGTATTTATAACCACTCTCATGTTTGTCTACCCTAATTCATCAGTATGGTAGCTGGTTCCTAGGATTATATATCTGTTTATCTTTGTTTGCTCTAGTAGCAGAGATCATTTCAAGAAGCCCATGCACTTATTCATGTGTAATTAACTTAATATGGTGCTGGGGTGATTTTATTTAATTCATTTGTCACTTTTTGGAGAACCACCCGTAGGAGGGTTTTCCTTCTGTCTTCTGTAACTCTGTTGTAGATCGTAGATCATAGATCGCTATATAATTTAAAGCACAATATATAGGTTAATGGGACACTCCATGCACCAAAACAACTTAATCAAAATTAAATTATGGTGCCATGAGGTCCCTGACCCTTCCTTACCTTTAGGGGTTAAACGGTGCATGAACGATTGAACCCCAAAATCTGCTCTGCAGTGCCATTTCTCTCTGTCCATTTCCATATCCGCTTTCAAACAATATTCTAAAGCAGGGGTTCTCAACCCAGTCTTCAGGACCCCTTACCAGTCCAGGATTTGGGGATTACCTGGGTGTGTCTCAGGTGTTTAGAAAAAGGGGAAAAAACACCTTAGACTCTAAGGTGTTTTTTTTTCTTTCTTTTTTCTAAACACCTTAGACACACCCAGGTAATCCCTAAACCCTGGACTGGTAGGGGGTCCTGAGGACTAACGTTGAGAACCCCTGTTCTAAAGGAAGTCTGTTGGCTTAGATTGGCTCCTCATTCATGAAAACGGCTTGAGAAAGTTGCGGTCAGCTGATACTCTAAGCCAGTCACTAGCTCCCCATTCATAAAAATGACTTGAAAAAGGAAGGCACCGTGCAAGGTTTGCTCACTGGCTAAGTGCGTCAGTGCAGGGAGTTTCTGGGTCACAAGAGGAGGCTACCAGCACCTGGTGGACAGCAGGTAAGTTGTCAGTGTGAAGGGAGGGCACTCTGGTTCCCATACCACTACAGCAGTCTTTAGTGGTTAAGTTGGTTGGAGTGTTCCATTAAGGGTGTTTGCCAGTAGGTTTGTTTTCAGAACAGATAACAGAACTGTCACTCACTAATTCTTTTTTTTGATGGAGGTTCCAAGAAAGGATTGGCATTCACCTAACAGAAATTGAGAGAACACTTACATTGAGTGGCTATGGACACTATATAACTTGTGATATGCTGAGATCCATGCTTTTGGTAATACCCATAGTGTCAGGCACATTCCAATTATATGAAAATATTGTTCTTATGTTCTTCACAATGTTGCCATGAACTGTATTTCCTGAATTTTGTTATCTCTTTTCCAGTAAATTACTCTGGTCAATACTCATCCAGGTCTGTTCAGTAAAGTTACAATTCAAAGTAAATTCCAAATTTAAAACCAGAGTAGCTGAGTGTACAGCATAGGTGACAGAGAATGTGTCCATTTTGGCTATTTTTGACCTTTTATTTGAAATTCACCTTGAATTTACTTCGGTGAATAACCCTGATAGTGAAACTGTCTCTGTCCAAATGTCCTTATCTGTGCCAGTCACTGGCTACTGTGAAAGTTGCATATAATTTTATGTTCCAGTGTACAGATAAGGTCCTTTTTGTCTTATCGGAGCTGTACTTCGGGCTGTGTGAGGATGTGACTGTGTGAGGATGTGACTGCACTGATAAGAAGATATGTGGTTGTGTGTGTTTCTTTCCCTACTGTGAAAGAAGAAAGGAATTCTCTTTAAAATTTATATAATTTACAGTTGTGTAACTTGTTTTTCAAACACAAAGATGCACTATTTGAGTAAATATACTATATGGACAAAAGTATCAGGACACCTGACTTTCACCAACAGGGAATTTTATGACATTGCTTTCTAAATACATGGACCTTAACATGTAGTTGGTCCCTTCTTTGAAACTCTGCTTCCACTCTTGTCGGACATTCTGTGACAAGATTTTGGGATGTTTCTGTTGAAATTTTTGCCCATTCAGTAGAGCATATGTGAGGTCAGGCACTGATGTTGGACTAAAAGGCCTGGCTCACCATACCCTTTCCAGTTTATTCCAAGGGTGTTTAAAAGGGTTGAGGTCATCGTTCTGATCTAGTAGTTAGGTGTGTTTTTAAAGAGAAATGCCTAAAAGGAAAAATACTTTGCAGTACTTAACACTCCTTTCTGATATGGTGCAAATGACAAGGATTGTTCGAATCTGTTCATCAGGTCTTAAAGGTGATGACACATTAATGGCAAAGGTCTACAAGATAGTGAGACTTCCCTCTTCCTTCCCACTTTCCTGTCTACCTGCTGCTGCTACCTTTTGGAGATACTGAGTGAGCACAGGGCTTACGCGTGAAACCATTTAGATTAAGACCTAGTTAGCTTGAATATGAAGCATGGCTGTAACAGGGCATTTATTGCTGATAAGGGGAAGATGGGTGCAGGGACATAGCTAGGAAGAGGATGATGGCTCCAGGGGATATACATTGCTTGGGAGGTAAATAAGAATACAGGGGAGAGAAACACAGCAAGCAACGTGGATGGCTAGGAGAGAAACATGGATCCAGGCGTTTAGGTGACTTGATGGACATGGATGGTAGGAATAGGGATGGAAATAATGTGGGGGGCACATTTATTGCTGGAGAGAGCACATGAGCTCATGGGGCATTGGGGGTGAGGAAATAATTAGTTTTTAAAGAATCCTCTTTTAAATAGTTTTAACCTTTTTAATGTCAAGTCAATGACTAGTTTTTCTTTATAAAGCAAAGTTTATCAGATTCTGTGGTCTGAACATTTGTGTATAGGGGTAATGTGTTTTCATATTGTGTTTGCATGCATCTCAATACTGCCCTTAGTGACTGATGCTTTTTTAATATTCTGTGCACTTGTAACTGAGGCCTCTTTTTTTTTTTTAGCACTTTTGCTATGTGTTTGTTCCACTGCGTACCTCCCAAGTGTCCTTCTTCTTTAGGAGGGACAGTCCCTAGTTTGGGTTCAAATCTCTGTCCCACTTTTGAGGGAGCAGACAGATGGATACTGTGAGCACGGATACTCTTAGGAGACAGGAGGCCTGCGAGAGGTGCTGGTTCTACTGGCTCGAGTTTTTGACCTTAGCTACCGTTCAGACATATGGGCAACTGGCAGGAAATGGGGATGGAGAGGCACTCTAGCTCATCTCTATAACAAAGTTCTTATGAATCGCAGCCTTTGGAAGCCCTAACCTTTTGGCCTGGAAGGCGAAACAGCCCGGGGGATGTTTCATTATTCATAGAAGTGTTGATTTCTCATATAAATTGGCACTTTTGTAAACTGTCATTATAATGGGATACTCTTCACCCATAAAGCACTTTTGCAAGATAAAGTGCTTTATGGGTATGGAATGGTCCTTTAAGGATGAAGGCAATTGTCCAACTGCTGTACCAAAATAAAACTATAGAATTTTTACACTAACCGAAATTTAACTTTAACCATATTAAAATAGTAACAGTACTCAGAGAGATTCCCTCAGCTGACTTCAGTACTGTCATCAGCAGAGGGATATCCCAGCTCATACAGTACTGAGCGTCTTCTACTGTGTGATTGCCGAATGAAAAAGAGATTTCCCTCTCATGCTGCAGCTCCCGCACGCTCTCCTTGCCTATCCCTAAGGGATTGGTGCTGGGCACCTGACAAAGCCTGGTGCTGATCACTATTGTCAGGGGGTCATGCAGAGAAAGCATGTACCTCAGAGTGGGGGCAGGCTGAGAATCCATGTGTCTCAGTGTAATTGTGCAGCCGTGGTGATTTAAAGGCTATTTTCAGGGCTCACTTTGAGCAGTCAGTCTGGGCCTACTAAATATAGCTCCAACTGGCAGAGGGGAGCCCCGGGTATCTATTTCGTACTGGAGTCTCCTCTGTGTGAGCAGAGACTAAACCCTGCACTAGACAAAACTACAGGATGTTCCACTCCAGATTTGGATTTTACTGAATCACCCAAACACAGAAATACCCCATATACATACTTTTGTCAGGATGTTTGGGAACTTTATACGGTCAAACCGTAGAACCTAATTTTAAGATGTCTTTTTGCTTGCTTGCCAGAGATGCTGTTTATTAAAGTAGCCCTAGTTTAAGAAGTGTTTAGTAGTTTGGCCGCCTATCACTGTGATCACATTGCCTCAAATGGACCGCTAAGCCATGGCATTATTGGGATTGGCTTCCATACAGATCACAGCATGTGCCGGAAAGCTGTGACAGCCTGTGTTCCAGTGTTTGGGCATCTTCTGGAAAGCTATTACTGGATGTGTCATATTTGAGACATCCAGCAATATCCCAATACATACACTTCTGTGTGCCACCAATGAATATCTATGGCAGCCAGCAACCGATGACTATGGCATTTTGCAATTGGATGCCTTGGGTAGCTTGGGGGAAATGTTATTGCCAATCAGTCCTACTAGTCTGGAAATAGATCAGTCTCCAGCTTTGGGGTGGGTGGAGGGTTTAATGGTAGCCATAAGTTGTATAACTTTGGCCACCATAAACTTTATTTGTGACAGGTATGTATACACTACAAACAAAACACATTGTGTAAGGTGCTTCACAATAAAGTTAAAAAGGTGACCAAAATTAAGTGAATTGTGTGACTGATATAAAAGTGCTTCCCCAACACTAAGCATAAAATACCAAAAAGAAAAAATATATATCAGTATATACACAAATCCCCGTGAGACAAATGGTGTCAAATAAATATAAATGATATAAAATATACAAATGTAATAATGGGAAATACCTAAATTAAACAAATAAACAACATAGTGTGAATTGTATAAAACAATGATCGTTCAAGCAAACGTAGGACTACCACTCACATGGCCCAGAGCCGTACCAGGCTCTGTATCACAGGCTCGAGAGTGCCAATACTGGCTTTCGGTTCTACTTGGTAGATAGTAGGAGATGGAACTTTAGACATGTAGTCAAATACATTTTTTTGGATATTACAAATAAAAAAACTCAAGGTACATAGGTTGAATGGGAGTGGAACTAAAAATAAAAAATCAACTGATAAAAACAAAGTTCCACTCACCATAAAGACGAACATTTTGATTTGCTATCAGCACTGGAAGAAGGCTTATTAAGCCAAAACGCATCTACTGTATTTAATCTTTTACATTTGTTTATTATACTCCTGGTTACTGCTTCTGTGGTGGTGAGTGGAACTTTGTTGTTGCAGCTCCTGTCATTGACCTGTACCTGGCCAGCCCGGTCCCCACTGGACCCCAAGGAAGCCACCCACACTGCTAGATATACACAGAGATGCAGCATAAGCCTCCACTCATACAAATAATATGAACAGCCCACACACAAACACACACCTAATCCACACAAATGTTACAGCACTAACAATCCACATACATGCACACAAACCCACATGCAGTCTCTCAAATTCAATACCCCAAACAGACCCACACATACACACACTACCAAACACACAATGTGACATCCACACACACAATTCCACAAGCATACCCCATACACAACCCACATTCAAACTACGCAAATTACTCATGAACATATACAATATAATAGCTCATATACACACAAATACAATCATACAAAGCAACTGCAGTATAAATAACACAAGCAGAATACGGCAACATACACACCTCAGTTAAAAAAAAAAAAACGAATAGGACTGGCACGCTATGGGACATCACAATCCTAGTTCGGCACAGTGCTGCTAAAAGGTTGCCTACCCCTGTACTAGGGGTACCCTGACTCCCAGGTCAAGGGAGGATCAATTTTTCATTGTTTTGTCTCGTACCAGGATCCAACCTGTTACCAAGACTCTTCTCATGCCGGCTGAACGACATCCTGACTTCTGCAAAGATGTAGACGCTTGATGCAGATCCTGTAGTTAATCCAGTCAGCCTCTGTGCACATCATTAACATGAGCCAGCTCAGAAGCTGGATAATTAAGGGTGCCAGAGGTGGGATTGGAAATTGCATCAATAGTGATTAGATTGAAAGAAAAATAACACAACTGATCATGATCTACCAGGCTGCTTGCAAACAACACCTCTTCTGTGCTGTAGTGGTCATGGTGCCAGTAATGCCCTGGCACCCCTTCAGGGTAAGTAGCCAAATCTTTTGCTAATGGTTTGACTTTTACCCATGCTCTGATGGCACTGATCACTGTGTCTATGGCAGCTGGAATCTCTCCGATATGATCTAAGCCCTGCAGGCAAAAGGATGCTTCCGACTCTCCATAGAGAAAGTGACTTGTGCCTGGCGTACCCCAGGTTAGAAGTAAAATGGTTTAATTACTTTCACTGGAGGGAGCTATGGCACTCATGGCACCATAACCACTACAGCGTATTCCTTTACATGTTTAGAAATGGTAAATTGATCATTATAAACATCCCTACTTGCAGGAACAATATGTCTTTTATAATATGTTAAATATGCCTCTTAATTCCAATATTGTTTTCTAAATGTAGCCATTCTAACTTAATATGATACTAAGAAATATCTGACATATCTTTCTTCTAACATTGCCAGATGGACTTTTTTGCTAGAGATAAAAATATAGTTGTTTTCAGTTTGTAATATTTGCATGTAAGTGATAATTTATACCACATCATCTCAATATTTAAACAATCAACAGGATCTGTTTTGCTACACTGTGACAGGCGAATGAGCATTCTTGAAATAAACTGAGAAAGAAGTCCTCTATTAAAGGAACACTCTAAAATTAGAGTGTTGTTATAACTATACAGAATTTCAGTCACCAGGAAGTGAAATAAACAAAGCGTTTACCTTCATTTCCCCAGGCGTGCTCATCTCTGGAGGCTAGTGCACATGCACAGCAAATGCGGCGATGCTTCCACTTTTATCTCCTCATTGTGATGCATCTCTGTGGGGAGCGTTCAGCGTCTCCATAGCGTAAAGATACTAAACATCAGTCCTGCAATCTTTGCAGGACCAAACCTTGGATGTCCCTCTAATGGCTGTCAGAGTGACAACCACTACAAGTGGGGCTGGCCAGCAGAGTTTTGACTGAGTAAACTGGAAGTGCCAATGTGTAATGACAATTCTAAGCGGCAGCACACATTTTTGCCCTGCACTATACACAGCTCGATCTCATGAAGGTAAAGAAGCAGATTCTGGCTTTAACTGAACTGTTGCACGTTTTTGAAAATCTCACGGAAAGTATAATGGCATCTGCTACAAATCTAGACTGGTAGATAATAAAGAATGTACTTCCGGAACATGAGTATGACATCAAATGGATCCTTTACTGGCAACTTTGTGTATTTGTTACATTCAGCACCTGTGTAAATAAATGATCCAGAGTTTTCTTTGTGTGTGTGTATATATATGAACAAAATTATAAACGCAACACTTTAGTTTTTGCCCCTTATTTTTCATGACCTGAACTCAAAGATCTAAGACTTTTTCTATGTACACTAAAGGCCTATTTCTCTCAAATATTGTTCACAAATTTGTCTAAATCTGTGTTAGTGAGCACTTCTCCTTTGCCGAGATAATCCATCCACCTCACAGGTGTGGCATATCAAGATGCTGATTAGACAGCATGATTATTGCAAAGGTGTGCCTTAGGCTGGCCACAATAAAAGGCCACTTTAAAATGGTCAGTTTTATCACACCGCACAATGCCACAGATGTCGCAAGTTTTGACTGCAGGAATGTCCACCAGAGCTGTTGCCCGTGAATTGAATGTTTATTTCTCTACCATAAGCCATCTCCAAAGGTGTTTCAGTGAATTTGGCAGTACATCCAACCAGCCTTACAACCGCAGACCACGTGTAACCACACTAGTCCAGGACCTCCACATCCAGCATCTTCACCTCCAAGATCGTCTGAGACCAGCCACACGGACAGCTGCTGCAACGATCTGTATGCATAACCAAAGAATTTCTGCACAAACTGTCAGAAACAGTGTCAGGGAAGCTCATCTGCATGCTCGTCGTCCTCATCGGGGTCTCGACCTGACTGCAGTTCATCGTCATAACCGACTTGAGTGGGCAAATGCTCAAATTCGATGGCATCTGGCACTTTGGAGAGGTGTTCTCTTAACGGATTAATCCCGGTTTTCACTGTACAGGGCAGATGGCAGTGTGTATGGCGTCGTGTGGGTGAGCAGTGTGCTGATGTCAACGTTGTGGATCGAGTGTCACATGGTGGGGTTATGGTATGGGCAGGTGTATGTTATGGACAATGAATACAGGTGCATTTTATTGATGGCCTTTTGAATGCACAGAGATACCGTGACGAGATCCTGAGGCCCATTGTTGTGCCATTCATCCACGACCATCACCTATTGTTGCAGCATGATAATGCACGGCCCCATGTTTTAAGGATTTGTACACTATTCCCGGAAGCTGAAAACATCCCAGTTCTTGCATGGCCAGCATACTCACCGGACATGTCACCTATTGAGCATGTTTGGGATGCTCTGGATAAGCGTATACGACAGCGTGTTCCAGGTCCTGCCAATATCCAGCAACTTCGCACAGCCATTGAAGGGGAGTGGTCCAACATTCCACATGCCACAATCAACAACCTATCCAAAGGAGATGTGTTGCACTGCGTGATGCAAGTGGTGGTCACACCAGATACTGACTGGTTTTTGGACCCCCCGGACCCTACAATACAGTAAAACTGTACATTTTAGAGTGGCCTTTTATTGTGGCCAGCCTAAGGCATACCTTTGCAATAATCATGCTGTCTAATAAGCATCTTGATATGCCACACCTGTGAGGTGGATGGATTATCTCGGCAAAGGAGAAGTGCTAACACAGGTTTAGACAGATTTGTGAACAATATTTGAGAGAAATAGTCCTTTTGTGTACATAGAAAAAGTCTTAGATCTTTGAGTTCAGGTCATGAAAAATAAGGGGCAAAAACTAAAGTGTTGCGTTTATAATTTTGTTCAGTGTGTGTGTATATACAGTTGCAAGAAAAAAGTATGTGAACCCTTTGGAATGATATGGATTTCTGCACAAATTGGTCATAAAATGTGATCTGATCATCATCTAAGTCACAACAATAGACAATCACAGTCTGCTTAAACTAATAACACACAAAGAATGAAATGTTGCCATGTTTTTATTGAACACACCATGTAAACATTCACAGTGCAGGTGGAAAAAGTATGTGAACCCTTGTATTTAATAACTGGTTGAACCTCCTTTGGCAGCAATAACTTCAACCAAACGTTTCCTGTAGTTGCAGATCAGACTTGCACAATGGTCAGGAATAATTCTGACCGTTCCTCTTTACAGAACTGTTTCAGTAAAGCAATATTCTTGGGATGTCTGGTGTGAATCGCTTTCTTGAGGTCATGCCACAGCATTTCAATCGGGTTGAGGTCAGGACTCTGACTAGGCCACTTCAGAAGGCGTATTTTCTTCTGTTTAAGCCATTCTGTTGTTGATTTACTTCTATGCTTTGGGTCATTGTCCTGTTGCAACACCCATCTTCTGTTGAGCTTCAGCTAGTAGACAGATGGCCTTAAGTTCTCCTGCAAAATGTCTTGATAAACTTGGGAATTCATTTTTCCTTTGATAGCAATTCGTCCAGGCCCTGACGCAGCAAAGCAGCCCCAAACCATGATGCCCCCAAAACCATACTTCACAGTTGGGATGAGGTTTTGATGTTGGTGTGCTGTGCCTTTTTTTTCGCCAAACATAGTGTTGTGTGTTTCTTCCAAACAACTCAACTTTGGTTTCATCTGTCCACAGAATATTTTGCCAGTACTGCTGTGGAACATCCAGGTGCTCTTGTGCAAACTGCAAACGTGCAGCAATGTTTTGTGTGGACAGCAGTGGCTTCCTCTGTGGTATCCATTCTTGTTTAGTGCTTTATGTATTGTAGATTCGCTAACAGGGATGTTAGCATTTGCCAGTGACTTTTGTAAGTCTTTAGCTGACACTTTAGGATTCTTCTTCACCTCATTGAGCAGTCTGCGCTTTGCTCTTGCAGTCATGTTTACAGGATGGCCACTCTTAGGGAGAGTAGCAGCAGTGCTGAACTTTCTCCATTTATAGACAATTTGTCTTACCGTGGACTGATGAACAGCAAGGCTTTTGGAGATACTTTTATAACCCTTTACAGCTTTATGCAAGTCAACAATTCTTAATCGTAGGTCTTCTGAGAGCTCTTTTGTGCGAGGCATCATTCACATCAGGCAATGCTTCTTGTAAAAAGCACTGTTGTGTGTTTTTTATAGGGCAGGGCAGCTGTAACCAACACCTCCAATCTCATCTCATCTCATTGATTGGACTCCAGTTGGCTGACATCTCACTCCAATTAGCTCTTGGAGATGTCATTAGTCTAGGGGTTCACATACTTTTTTCACCTGCACTGTGAATGTTTACATGGTGTGTTCAATAAAAACATGGCAACATTTCATTATTTGTGTGTTTATTAGTTTAAGCAGACTGTGATTGTCTATTGTTATGACTTAGATGATGATCAGATCACATTTTATGACCAATTTGTGCAGAAATCCATATCATTCCAAAGGGTTTACATACTTGCAACTGTATAATACGGTACTCTGTAATATGTGCATATTGACATAGTTAACATCTCACTCTTCTCTAATGCTTAGTTAGATTTTTTTTGTTTTGTCTCTAGAACAAACTGCTGATTTTCCTTGACCCTACTGGCACCCAGATCACTTTATTTAAATTAAGTGACACATCACTGTTGTTTTAGCTTTCAGGGTTAAATCATTACTGTTCTGCAGGAATGGCAATTATAAATTGCAGGATAAAAATGTCTATAGTGCCATTCCCTTTGACAGCCACTAGAGGCACTTTTGCACATGTGCGCCAGCCTTCTAATACTTTCCTAGGAGAAAGCATTGCTTTGGTTGAGATCATCAATCTTGACAGTCCCTGCGAGAGGGAGAAAAGGTAAGTAAAACTACGGGTTTACTCCTTACAGGTTTGGGGTCTGGCACCTGTACAGTTAAGAGGGCACTATAGCATTGGGAATGTACAATTGTATTCCTAATGCTACAGTATTTCTTTAAACTATCTCACAGTTCTAGTAAATATGTGATCATACACTTACTATAAACCTTCCATTACCTCTCACCAATTTGTTGCAAGGAAATATGTGGACTGTGCAAACCATTGATGTAAACTGAAGTCACTGGTGAATTATTCTGATAGAAACAAGCTTTAGAAAATATGAGGCCTGTGGACAAATCTGTATGAAGATTTTTTTTTTTTTTTTTTTCATTCCAATTCCTTTTTAAGTGTCAGTGACACAAGGCAAGACAAATTGGTGGTTATGGTTTACACCGTTTTAATCTTGATGATCTCAGCCAATCCAAAACTTTCCCATTGTAAAGCAGTTGGAGGCTGATGCACATGCGCAGCAAGCACTGGACTAAGAAGCACGTCTAGTGACTGTCTGAGTGACTACCACTAGAAGTGTTACTAGGCAGCAATGTAAACACTACCTTTTCTCTGAAAATGCTGTGCTTTCATTAAAAAGCCTGCAGGGGCAGGCTATACACTCCAGAACCACTACATTAAACTGTAGTGGTTCTGATGACGATCGTGTCCCTTTAGGATCTGTTATTTGTGTTAAAAATAATACTTTGCTAGTTTAAAAAAACAACAAAAAACTGGCTTCTATTTTTTTTTTTTTAACTGGCTCCTAGATACAAAGTAAATTTGTCAAGCCCAGTGATAACCTACTATTTGACATACAGGCAAGTGACATGAACTTTGAACTACAAATCTATTAATGTGCTAACTTTTCTGCTAAAGAAATAAAAAAAAAAAAAGTAATCTTTTTATATAGAGCCAAGTTCTGCTGGGCATGACAGGCACACTTTGAAAGCCACAGATTCCAGATAAGAACGAAAGCCTAAAATTTAAAATTCAATTGTACAGGTGACTACTCAGTATTAGAGATGTCGCGAACGGTTCGCCACGAACCGTTCGTGGCGAACTCTGGTCAGCTGACACATTCCTGCCAATCTCCGGCAGACCCTCCCTCCCAGACCCTCCCACCTCCTGGACAGCATCCATGTTGAAGCTGCCTTCAACATGGATGCTGTCCAGGAAGTAGGAGGGTCTGGGAGGGAGGGTCTGCTGGAGATTGGCCGAGATGTGTCAGCTGACCGGAGTTCACCGCGAACGGTTCGTGGCGAACCGTTCGCGGACGGTTCGCGACATCACTACTCAGTATATTTTCTAGTTATTCATAGCTCAGCTGTATCAATCAACATCTCTATACCAATTAATTCGTATTTTAATTTCCTTATTCAGAGTTGTCATTTTCTGACATCTGAAGGGACACTTCAAATGGATTTTTATATCAGGATATATTTCAAAGGGTTTATTCAGTAAACATTGAATTGTTTGAAAACAGAATTTTCCTGATGTAGGCAATAATACAGAGACTCCCTCTGCGTTTCTTACCTCTCTGCCTCCCGCGATGTCACGGAGGAAGCATGGTCTTTCCACTGATCTCCAGTCCTCGGCACCTTATGGTGCAGCAGCTGGACATAGTGCATGAGCATTCAAACTTACCCATAGGAAAGCCTTGAATCCATGCTTTCCTCTGGGGCTTATACATCACGTGACCAGGTTTTACTTGGTCAGTGCAGCAGATGGGCCTCTAGTGACAACCACTAGAAGCAGACTAATAAATGTTTTACATTGCAGGACTAAAAGTACAGGGACACTGCACCCAGACAACATCATTGAGATGAAGTGGTCTGGGTGACTATAGTGTCCCTTTAATTGAAGAACTTATTTATTTAAATACATATTTTACTTTATTTTCTCCGAAATCTTAACAATTCACTGTTTGCTTAATTAACCTACCTTCTATTTATCTAAATAAATATTAGCCTCCTCAATATTGAGATAGTCAATTTATAATTATTGTGCAATAATTGGATTTCTAACCTTCTTTTTTTTTTTAGGGTTCTTGTTTACAATGATAAGTTATTGAAGCAGGTCTATTTTAAATAGTGTTATGTATTTATTTGAAATTGGGAGAGGTTTTGCTACTTTTTTATTTAAAATTAAAGAGAGAATAAAAAATACAACTAACTATTGTGCACAAGCATTAACAGTAAATCCTTTTGACCAGTTAATACTCAGATTAAGGTGACTCAGTTGCAGGTGACTTGTTTCTGTGCATAATTAACTAAACCACACAATTGTGGCTGCATTCTAGTGTATATCTCATTGTGTGTCTCCCTATGATTCCCACACACTGGCATGTTTCTTTTCCATTAAATAGTTTTGAGGTTGTACTTTTGGGTTTTTGTTTTGTTTTTTTACGGAGAGGATGCGTTGATTTTATTGGGAGATAAGAGCCCTGGGAACATAAATGTTTCTTGTGGCCTTACTTTAACTCTTTAACAATTCAAGGAACACTCCAAACAACTCGAGCACTTTAGCCTACTGAAATGCTTTGTGTGAAGAGTGTCTTTTAGTTTTCATTTTACAAAAGTGTGTATTCCAATAGAAATTAACCTTGTTATACACACTGTTTGTTCCTGGTTATTTAGCTCAGTTTAGCTAGTTAGCTAGTTACCTAGCTAATTTCAATAGGCAGGCAAATACTCAGGCGCACCTGCCTTGCAAAGACGTCTCATTGAGAAGTCTGCAATTGGACAGCCATATAAAGTCGGGGTTGGGTTAGAAGGGGAAGGCTTTCGTAGGTGGCAGACTGCAAATCTGCTCATTTTGCGAGCTGCTTTTTGATGTACCGCCAATGAAAAAACAATTAAATGCATGTATGTTTCTTGTTAAATTGTGTGTGTGTGTGTGTTAGTGTCCCTGTAATGGTACTTTGCAGCTGAACACAGAATCTGTGTTTATTGTAGCTCATATGTTTGTGTACACATGATATGTGAGGGAGGGTGAATGCTCACGTGCCCTTTTCTTACAATTCTTTGATCATTTCATTGAGAACTCAAGTGCTGGAACAATCATTCTATTCAGAACTACTCTATTTTGTGGCAGATTCCTTAGGGGAGTTTGTGTTTGAAAAACTGCTGCTTTGAAAGCAATGTCTGTAGAATACATGCACAGTACTTTAATTCTTCTATTGGAGCTGCATTTTCGCATTAAAGTTTTGCTGTGATCTTTCCAGGGGTGGGACTGTTTTAAAACATTTTAGGTGACCTGCTGGTGAAAATCTATTCAACTAAAATGTAATTTATAACCAGAACAATGTATCTTATTACACAGACTGATTGCTAAACACCGTTTTATTGTAAATAAGACACATTACTGTGATTATTATTGCTATGGAGCTCTGTTATACACTCAGACACACCAACAATATGGAGGTCCAAGAAAAGGGGGACATTAGGATAGAAAAGGGGTACCGAAGGGATATGTGCCCAAAATAGGGAGTGTCTATCGTAAATTGAGACACTTGGGAGGTATGTTCAGATCATTACAGGTGCAATTTTAATAAATATATATTTTTTTAATTTTATTTTTAAACGTTCTGTTGCTTTTAAAGCCATGGGCCATCTTGATTCTTCGTACTCTCCATTGTATTCTTCTTTCCCAGCTCTCCCCAGTGTCTCTGTCATCATATTCTCCCTGCCACCTTTAATTCCACGTGTTGTACCCCAAGTTTATTTTCTCTGTCTGTTTTCATATAATCATACCTCTTATGGAAAAGTTAACACTTTCTTTTGTATTGCGTTATAATCTATATGCAGATGACACTTTGCAGGTACTTCTTCCCAGATCTCTATCTATACATTACAAACTTATCTCTGGTGGGATGTCTGCCCAGCTTTTGGAAATTTAGAGGGGGATTTTGCAAAATGTCATGCTCTAAAAAGTGGGACAGAGTTCTTAAAGTAACCATTCACTATGGAAACCAGGAGAACCAACCCTTCATTAGTGTACAATTATGCACACTTTTTAGAACCTGACACTTTGATAAATCTTCCCAACAGTCTCTTCGGAATGGCGATGTTTCCTCTTTTAAGGGTAAACCTATGTGTCATCCTCACTTCGACTCCGTGTACTATAAACTCTTCACCTCTAACCAGCTGGCTGGGAGTCATTGTTTTAATTTTCTTTTCACTGCAAATCACTTGGTGAACTGATGAGTTATAAATCAATCATATGAACCAAAATTGAGTGAAAACTCTTACCAAACATCATATGTAATTTTCCTAATGACTAAGCAAAGTTTGTATTAGTGCACGTATAATCATGCATTACACTCTTCATGTCCATTATTCCTAAACTTATGTCACAATTTTCCCATTGAAGGAAAATAAAGATGGTGCAATGCATAATTAATGAGCAGATTTCAATGTCCTGTATAAGTATGCAAAATAAACCAAAACCACCCCACTGGCATTGCACTGTTAAAGTATGTTAACACGAGATGTTTTTAGATATACCAGTACCTCTGCACCGTATATGAGAAATAGTTATGTTGATGTACAATGTTAATAGCTTGTAGGTATTAAGATCACATTTTATTATTGCTTCATCACCATTTGTAGTTTATTTCCCTTGTAGACAAACTGTGTGTTAAGAGGATTGGTCGTAGCTTGACGGCAGCCCTGCAGTGTAAAGAAATTGTAATGCTTTTGACTGACAGCAGAGGGTGTGGAGATTTTTTTTTTTTTTTTTTATTCTGGGGGAGCTAAATTTTAGGTTGGGTAGATGTCAAAGTGATCTGCCTTTAAAGAACCACCCCCATTGCCATGATGTTATTTATGTTGTCCTACTTGGATGCCTTTGCCTGGATATAGAACAGCTGCTCTTAGGAGCAGAGAATAACTTTTTTTTTTTCTAGACAGATTTTTTTTTATTTTTCAAGAGCAGGCCTGGTCTTCATGCAAGAACAGATTAAGTGATTAAAGGTAATTTTCTTGTTTTCAAATATCGATAGATAAATAATAGATTATTTTCTAATATTATCTTCCCCTTTTAAATGTTTTATTTGTTCTTTTGTCTGGGGTTCGATTTATTTTATTTATTTTGTAGTACAAAGCTGGCTGAAATGATTTATTTTTTATTCTATTTTTAAAAAATTATTTGTATTTTTATCTATGATGATACATAAGGTTCTGGAGCACAGATGATCAGTTTTTTAACTGTTTATCAAACTGAGCCTTTTGTTATTCTTTAGCATTGTTGCAGTGTTTTGTACGAATAAGGAATGGCTGTATTCGAGTGAGAAACCTAGTCACAGCTTTTAGTATTTGCTTAGTTTATCTTGAAGGCAGTTTGTACATTTGCAGTCAGTGCAGGCTTATCTTTATTACAGGAAATAAACATTTGCATTTGTATATAAGATGAATCCTAAAACAGCTTTTATTGGTGTGCTGATTGCATTGTGGAAATTGAGATTTTTATTAAAAAATAGTTTTAAAAAAAAAAAATGTATTTTTGTTAATGTTTGTTACAGCTGCTGTCTCTACCTAGCTACATACTATACATTTCCTGTTTAGGTCATAATATTTTTATTATAGTTTTTATTTACGTACTGTTTTACAGAATCAAAATGGTAAAAAAAAAAAAAAAATTCCTCTAACAGACAAACAAAAGAAACGAGACAGAACATGTAATGATTAAACACACCTTCAACAAGCTTCAACTGAAAAGAGACCAGAGACAGCCTGTGTGGAGACTTTAAAACAATGGGACATTTTCCCAACGGCCCAGTACAGTGAAACGCATAACACATTATGACTTCCGTGCACTGGGACTAAAAGGTAGAGCAATCACTTGCTTGGAATACGATTTTGCATAGGCACACTCCTATCCCATGCTGGCATGGTCTTGTTTGGTACATAAACAGCAACAGTGAGTCTAATGAGGAATTATGTGCTCTTTTTCTTTCACGCATTGATCATTTTAGCATCTGAAGTTAGTTTTTCCGCGCTGCTTGGTAAGACTGCTGATATTGTGTCTTCAGAGGCTTAAAAAAAGAAAATCTGGTTTATGACAAATCCTGAACAAAACAGGTGGTGAAAGAAATGAATAATGTTCCGCTATCATATGCGTCCTCCATATTAAGACCAATGTAAAAAAAGAATTGGATTTAAAGAACAGAGAAACACTATAGGGGTTTCTACAGTAAACACGAATTTGTGATGAATTCAAAATCAATAGGTAAAATAGCCAAGCTATGGATATTTTTCCAAATCAGCAGCTGAGGCTTAGATCTTGCAGTTTTGTTTTCAATTCATTAGAGTTTGCGCTTTACTAAATAAAATCACATGTTGTCAATCACTTTAGTAGCGCAAGAAAGAGCCTCTTAAAAGGACATGTACATCTCTCATGTGCTTCCTAGATTGGAGTTTAACTCGTTGAAACAATCCTTCCGTTTTGCGCGAACCCTATAGAAAAGTATTGATTCAGTGCTTTCCTATAAGGAAGGACTAATGCGTCCGTGTCACTTGCTGCGCATGTATGCGCTTTAGGTTTACGGATCTCAGTGTCATTGAGGGACCTCGACGCTGGAATTGCGTAAGTTGGGGGGAAGTTTTGTTTTTCCCCACTTTATTTGCCAGCCGGGGAGGGTGAAAGGGAAGGCGGACGCAGACAGTTTTGTATTCCTGACACTATAGTGTTCCTTTCAACTATTGAGCTCACGTATTGTGACACTTATAATCGGGGTTTTGTTGCTTTTAGGTAAAGTAATACATGAACAGAAATATGAACATTAAATATTTTGAATTTTTTATTTTAGAGAATTCAGTGGTTAGTTTAACAACAGCAGTAAATCTACTCACGACTATACTACCTATTTAATACGGGGTTCATAGCTTTTTTTTTTTTTTTGGGGGTGACACTAGAGTTCTTGCGTAACTATGAGCTAAGCACTGCTCATTTTGGGTTAGCTCAGTGAAGAGAGCTTCTGGCTGCAGAGAGAAGTATTGTGTGGCGCCCAGCTCACCCAGATCTAAATAAAATCAAACGGTAAATGATTGGACTACTTAAATTTGAGGTAGAAATAATTCGCCATGGAACTCACAGCACAATACCACTACAGTATGTCCCTTTATAGTGTTTTATAAGTCTCAGAGAATATTTCAGATTTTTTACGTTTATACACAATTGGCAAAATATTTTAAGGAGAGTATACTAAATATATTAAATGAAACATTTTGAAGAGTTAAAATGTATGGTTAAAACATTTGTTTTAATCAAATTTATTTTTATGACCTGCTGTCACTGACAGAATTAACATACAAGCTATAAAAAAAAAGATTGGGACAAGCACTGTCTTCAGCTAATTTTCTCACAAACCATTTTCTGTATCCAATATCGGGGTCAAATTATAAGTGCTGAGAAAGTTACCAAGACATGGATATCCAGGAATCGCCCATCTCTACCGTCCACTATAATAACATTAAAGAAATATGTTTGATGTTTCAAATAAAGTCACACTAGTGGTGGAAGTCACTTAAGCACTTGGATTTTGAAATTGTTGAAGTATAGATTTCACTTTTAACAGCAGTAGCCTCTTCTGCTACATAATAAGAATAATCTCTTCCTTTTGGACTTGTTAATTCTAAATTGAAAAATTGGTTGGGGCCCAATAAAGCGGGAACGTGAATTAAGTGTTTTAAGTTTTTCATGTAGACCCAGTTCATGTATTCACTTAAAAAAAAAAAAAAAATCTATTTTGTTTAATTATTTCAGTTAAAACACCGCAAATAAAAAAAAAATATGTATGCTATATAATGTTATTATTTGTGTTAAATAAAACGTTTTTTGTAATTCTCCAAAATGAATGATTAACCTATTAAATTAAGATCAGTTCTCAGGCAGGTTATTATTCTAAATATGAAATCTTCATCTGGTTACAAAGATTTAACTACCAGCAAGAATGAGTGTTTACATTTGAAAATCGTGATTTAAATCGATTTTTACGGACGAGTAATTTTACGGTAAATCAAAGCCACCCTGGGGACTAACTATGCTTTCTCTTTTTATATATATATTTCTTTTCTTTTCTCATGAGTGATACACTGCATAGGCCTGAATTGAAGGAACAGATCTATTAAGCTCTTTTTGTTTTTATGAATTTATATTCTTGTCATGTCAGGAACTGATTACTGGGAATAATTTAGCTTTCACTGTAACAAGCTGCCTGTTATAACTGAGCTGAAATGATCAAATTGCCGAGCTATTTATATATATATACCGCTTTGTTTGCACCTTCAACCCAGCTTGCTGTTTTCACAGTAAAAACTGTTCATGGTATCAGCGCTGCGACTTGTGAGACGGTAATCATTAAAATAATGTCCTGTGTAAAGTCTTCCACATACTAAAATAGATTTTAAAAAATACCCAGATTAACAAACGCCATTAACAACTGGTCAAAGCCGAAATTAGTGATGAGTGATGTGTTTTTATTTAAACCTCCTTCCTGTCTTCATTTTGTTAAACAATTGTTTTTGGGGGGATTTGTTTTGTGTTTTATAGTGATGCCCTACTTTTGAATTTAATTTATTTTATTTTTTTTCCACACACTGCTTTTACCTGAAAGCAAACTTCAAATACAACATGCTGAAAATCTCCCCCCTCCCCCTTATCCAAAATGCTCCCACATACCTTTCCGTTTGAGATTTACATTTACTTCAGACATTTCTCTCCTCCCTCACATGTTTTTCATCTAAATGTTCAGTAGCTTATAAATCATTGTTTTTTTAAATTTTTTGTGTTTTTGTTGTTTTAAGGTGTTGGGGCAGACTGAAAAAATGTAAAAAGAAATTATGCAAATGTGTTTACCAGTAGGTGGCTTCTCTGTGGATTTCTCCCCTTCTTCCTGCCAATGTTAGATAATTGTTTATGATAATAGCAAGTCGTATAAGAAAACTTGTACCATCGGTCATAAAACCGTTTGGTACTCAGCTGGTACTTTGCAATAATTTAGTCAGGCTTACTTCAAAAAGTAAATGACCTCTCTATTTAACTTCATATTTGTTGAAGGTACATCTTTGTTGTGCGATTCTGTTGTTGATTGGAGAAGAAAGCATTATTTTTGGTTATATATTATAGTCTGCTCTTGTTTTCTTTTTCAAGCAATTATTTTTTTTTTAGGATGCCTGGAAAGCTACAATATCTAAATATACATATATATGAAAAATATCTGTGTTGGTTAATACCTGGTAGAGCAGTAACATTGAACTTCTATTTTGTCCTATCTAGTCTGTAAACCTATTGTTATTGGGAATCACATTAGCTGAAATGGACTGTTTAAATAGACACTCCATCACAAAATTATATATATTAAAAAAGCACTATTTAGTATAACCCCGATGAAGACATGCATGTATTTAAATATGCATATTGTCACTGGGGGTATATCTAAAACCGCTTATTAAAGCCCCACCATCTTAATTTTCAGTGAAAACCCTAACCTGTTGGTAGGTATAGCTACATATTAAATTAAATACAGGGTTGTTCACTAAACACCAACTTTCTTGTCTGCAGTCTTTACACGTACTCTCCACCACCCTTTTCCGCTGCCCACTCTTTCTCTGGCTGTGGAATCACATACTTTCCTTACAAGGCAGGTGCTCTGGGCAATTGCCTGTCTCTTAAGCTTAGCTCCTCTAAGCTAACCTGGGTGGTGGTGTAACAATTTTGATTGAAGTCTGCACTTTTTGTCAAATTTCAAAAAGAGGACACACTCTTCATATATAACACACTTTGGAAAGCTAAGGTGCTTTAGGTGTCTGGAGCATTCCTTTAATATTTTCTATTGGAATTACTTTTCAAGGTTGTTTTTGTAGATCTTCCGTTGCTGTCAAGGACCGTTTTAATTACCGGGACACTTTTAACAGCATATCTCCAAACATACATGTGACGGAGCATCAGGCAAATAATTAGCCAGTGTTTTGCATTATGAAGAACCGCTTTGATGTGCTTGCTTATTTCATTAAGCAGTACATTGTTTTAAACACAATGCTTCTATGGACTGGAGTAGATGTGCACAGTGTTTAAATGTCTGGTTTAGAACTAATTTTCACCTCAAATACCCCATATTAAACAGAGCAATTAAACCTTGCTTAAACTTAATTATGTTATATAATGCATGCTTTTTGTCTTTGTCTGCTCCTCACAATGTGGCTGTGCGTCTGATTTTCTCGAAACTTCAGATATTTGACTAAGCTTTCCTTCCTATGATATTTGGTCTTGTATATTGCTATTCAGTGTTGGTCACTAGTGATACCTAACCTTGGATTGGGATTCAAATGTGCTCACCGTGCCCTGCCACAAATTGTATGTCACTGGGCAGAACGTGATCATGTGCCAGTTCAGTGATCTTTGACTCCAATTCCAGTGCTATGCTTCTAATGTTGGACTTTGTTGTATTTTAAAATGTGTGAAATTCAAGATATTGGTCTTTAAGAGTTTAATCCTTCATAGGAGAATTAGGCATGGTGAAATTAGTGAATTGCTGTAATTTTTTTTTATTAAAAGGCGAAACTCATTACTCCTTATATCTTGTTTGAGTGTTGCGATCCCTCAAAGAATGAGATCCACACAAGTTTAATGCAAAACATATAAATACTGTGGCATTGCAAACAACCCCCACCATCTTAATTTTCAGTGCAAACCCTAACCTGTTGGTAGGTATAGCCACATATTAAATTAAATACAGGGTTGTTCACTAAACACCAACTTTTGTCTGGATGACAAAATTCGGTGAAAAGGACTAAAGCACATTAACTTCCAGTATTGCCATCCAAACAATGAAATTTAGTCTGAGAGGAACCTTGCTCTCTATCTGTAATATTTTCTAGTTGTTTATTAATGTTGCCATTTCAAACTTTATTAATCTTGTGATGTCTTTTACACACCAATAGGAAAAAAAACAAAAACTCTTTGCAATCACTGAGAGAGCTGAAGTAACTTCATTCGGAAAGCACGCTGTAAAGGATCAGGGTGACCTGCACTGTATTTAGCTAATCAATAATTCGACATTCATTAACTACTACCTTTAAGCAACCTGCATTTCAGACCTTTACACACCAATAAGATAAAGTCCAAACTTCACAATAAAACGTTTAATGGATATTCTGTTGCAAGTTAAAGGGACACTATAGTCACCTGAACAACTTTAGCTTAATGAAGCAGTTTTGGTATATAGAACATGCCCCTGCAGCCTCATTGCTCAATCCTCTGCCATTTAGGAGTTAAATCCCTTTGTTTATGAACCCTAGTCACACCTCCCTGCATGTGACTTGCACAGCTTTCCATAAACACTTCCTGTACAGAGAGCCCTATTTAGGCTTTCTTTATTGCAAGTTCTGTTTAATTAAGATTTTCTTATCCCCTGCTATGTTAATAGCTTGCTAGACCCTGCAAGAGCCTCCTGTATTTGATTAAAGTTCAATTTAGAGATTGAGATACAATTAAGGTAAATTACATCTGTTTGAAAGTGAAACCAGTTTGTTTTTTATGCAGGCTCTGTCAATCATAGCCAGGGGAGGTGTAGCTAGGGCTGCATAAACAGAAACAAAGGGGTTTAACTCCTAAATTACAGTGAATTGTGCAGTGAAATGGCAGGGAAATGATCTATACACTAAAACTGTTTTATTTAGCTAAAGTAATTTAGGTGACTATAGTGTTCCTTTAAGGCCAACTGTAAAAGCAGAAAGATCAATGAGAAGGATTTAAAGATTTGCAAGATTTTCACAGTAAAATGTTACAGGTCTGTCAATTTCATTGTACACCAAGCATGTCAAACTCAAAGTCTGGATCGGGCCACACAAACAAGGTTTAAGTTTATGTGGGCCGCAAATAAAAAATTACCGTAAATTTTCATAGAAACGTAGGTTTATTTTAAAAAGTACAGTATAACCCCCCCCCCCCACCACCCCAGCATTCCCCTCTACTAAACCACAGCACCCCCTCTACTAAATCCCAGCCCCCCTCTACCACCCTGTGCCAAATCTGATCCTCCCGCTGACACACACATTCACTGACAGACACACACATTCATTGACAGGCACACACATACAGACACACTGACATACACATACTCACTGACACACACACATACTGACACACACATACTCACTGACAGACACACTGACACAGACACACACACATACTCACAGAGACACTCACAGACAGACACACACGTACACTTTCTTGCACACTCATACTTTTCTTTATTGCTCCTTACCTTATGGAGTCGATGTGGGGCATCTTCTTTGGGTCCTTCCTGCTCCCGTGCGCGGTTTAGTGATGCGGGGTGCCGGAATATGATGTCATAATCCGGCGCCCGGCTTCACTTCAGATGATGCACGCGACGGAGCAGTGAGGAGCAGGAACACTGAGCTCCCTCGCTGCTTCCTCCGTCCCCTCCTCCCCGTCCGGGAAAGTGTTAGCAGAGTAGTCACCTGCAATGTGGGGAAAGCAGGTGCCTACTCTGCTACAACACCAGCATGTACTCGCGGTTCGCCAGGCCGCAAAGATGGCCCTTGTGGACCACGAGTTTGACATGCTTGTTGTACACTAAGCACCCTATTGTAGTAAATTAAAATCTGATCTACAAAATTGGGGCAAAAATAATCAAGCTCTAAATACAGAGTTGTAAAGTTTTTTTTTTTTTGTTTTTTTTTGTTAAACTATTTTTATCTAAACATTTTCGGATTTCAGTTTAATACAGTTCGGAGTTTGATTAATTGTTTTATGTAGGTAGTGCTAGACATCATTTGTTTGTTTTTTGTTTTTACAGTTTGCACGAACAAACATTTCACAGGAATGTTTCATTAACCCCTTCCCGATACGTCCGCGGCAAATAGGCTCCATTTACTTATCTGGACTGGCGATCCCGGTCGGGGGACTGCTAGAGAGCCCAGCGGTGCCCCTGCAGCAGCTCCGACCTCTTCGGCACTCCAGGGCCATGTGATCACCACGATCACATAGCCGCAATAGGAGTCCATGGAGCTGCCAGCAAAGGGACTGTCTGATATAGATATAGATATCTCTCTCTCTCTCTCTCTCTCTATATATCTATATCTATATCTATATATATATATATATATATAAATCTGTACACCAGTCAAGCTCACAGGAATCACAAATTTGCAGTGATGTTACTACCGCAAAAGATTCTGGGTGGGCATATGCAAATTAATTCAACAAAGAATCACATTTTTGCCTCATTCCATTTTAACCCCTTAAGGACACAAGACGGAAATATTCTGTCATGATTCTATTTTATCCCAGAAGTTGTGTTCTTAAGGGGTTAAACATGGATTCCTTTGAGTCTGTGTTTGCTGTATACAGCAGCTTTGAAACACAACTAAGGGAAAGATGCAAAACCAGTGAACCACTCATTGACAGCTTTTTCATTGTTAATGCAAATCATCAGCATGAGGTTGGTTACTGGTTTGCTTATTGAGGCTTGGTAGTGTTTAACCCCTTAAGGACCACGGTCCTTAAGGTAAATTTGAGCGCTGGAAGCCGCTCTATGGGTATTGCACAATGCCTCGATATCGAGGCATTGTGGAATACACCCCCCACACTGCCGGGCACCCGGGTTGCCGCACATGGTGCCCGACAGTGTAGGCAAGAGCATCAGAAGCCTTCATGCAGGTTTCTGATGCTCTGCCTGTACTGAGTGCCTCAAGGGGTCGAGGCACTCCGTTAAAATAATAAAAAAAAATTTTTTTTTAAATTTAACCCCTACTCTCCTCCCCATGTACTTAATGATCGCCACGGTTCCCCCGCCGGCGATTGGTCTTCTTCTGAGACGGATCCTCTCCAATTTTGGACCCTCAGGAGCGGTCACATGGGGGTCACATGGCTGCAACAGGTGTCCACAGTGCTGCCAGCAGGGGGACTGCCTGAACTGACAGGCAGTCTCCCTGATGGTGAAAAAGTAAAAAAAAAAAAAATAAAATACACCACAACCGACTTGCTCTTTCACACTATCCCATACTTATCAATGTTTGTATCTTCTGTACTATCATGAGCCCTTAACACAAATATATATATATATATATATGTGTGTATATATATATATGTGTGTATATAGGAGATAGAGATATGTATGTGTATATATGAGATAGATATATAATCTATCATCATACTAAGTGTATTTTTAATCAATATATAATATAAAAATACACTTAGAGTAAAATTACACACACGTGTGTGTGTGTGTGTGTGTGTGTATATATATATATATTATATTATAAAAAATAAATAATTTTAAAAAATTATATGTAATTTTATTCTAACTGTATTTTGATATTAATATATTTATACATATATTTATATCTAAATGCACTTAGAATAAAATGATATATATATATATATATATATATATATATATATATATATATATATATATATATATGCCCTTAACCGTGGACATACTAGGTACGTCCGACAAAAAAAGGTGGTTAAGGACTGCAGATATATCTAGTACGTCCATGGCAAATAGGAGCCTTGGACTTACCTGGACCGGCGATCCACGACGTTCACGGTTGGGGGGGGACTGCCGAAGATCCCAGCAGTCCCCCTGCAGCAGCTCTGGCCACCCTGGCCCTCCAGGGCCATGCGATCACCAGGATCACATCGCCACAATAGGACTCTAGGAGCTGCCAGCAGGGGGACTGTCTGAGCTGTTAAAAAAAATAAAAATAAATATATATATATCATTTAGCAACCTACCTGTTTTACGACGGCTCGCACTTATGACCAGGCGTAAGTGCGAGCCGTCGTGGGGATTCCCTGCTCTCGTGCGCATGTCTATGTTTGGGGAAACTTCCCTGAACATAGACTAACGCACCAGAGCAGGGAATCCCTCAAATTTATTTTCGGGGAAATTTCGTTTTGGCCAATCAGGACCTCCTCATAGAGATGCATTGAATTAATGCATCTCTGAGGAAAGTTCAACGTCTCCATGCAGAGCATGGAGACGCTGAATGGCTGGGCTGATTACTATGCAGACTCTGAGCCAGGAAGCACCTCCAGTGGCCATCTAAGAAGTGGCCACTTGGAGGTGTCCCTTGGGGCAGTGTTTAAATGAAAAATGCCCGAAGGGAGCTATTATACTCACCAGAACAACTACATTAAGCTGTAGTTGTTCTGGTGACTATATTGTCCCTTTAAATGTTATCCCGGGGTGTATGTAGATGAACCAAGGAATTTTTTAGAACAATCTTTCTTTAACTTTTTATGGATGCATCGGCGCTGCTTTGTAGGTCTGTGTTATTTGTAATTTAAATAGCACAAGTTAGGAGGCAAAAAAAAAAGTTGGCATTGCTTCACTAGCTTAGCTGAACCGTAACCTTTTGCCTAAATTCAGACGAGTATCAACAGTAATCAGTACTGTTGAGGACAGGCATTAAAAGTAGGATTTCAGAATTCCACGACCTTGTTTGAAGCAGATATTTAGCCCTGGTTAACACTAGTGCAGCCGTTTAAATATTGATCAGCTTAATGAAATGTCTTCTTACTAACTAAAAACTTAGCACAGAAGTAAAAAAAAAGAGCCAACAAATGATATCTAGTAGGCTTGGCTCCTTTCCAGTTTATGGTATATTGTCAAAGTCCTGAGAAATGAGTGGTGCTTTCCCTAAGTAATTTAAACCAGTGTCTTTTTTAAAATACAGTTTTAAATATTTACATAGCTTGACTGTTTATCCATGCATAGTTTTGATCTATTTAGAGATGAGCCACCGGGAAAATGCATTGAAATAATAATACAAATATGGTTATTTACCCTTTTCTCGTGATTGCTGCCAATCCTCATAATTCAGAAACCGACATATGAGATATGTTTCTGAGTGATCAAGATTGGCAGCAATGAAGAGAAAAGGGTAAACAACCATATTTTTATTCATTTTTTTAAATCTTTTATAATCTTTTTTTTTTTTTTTCAATGTGTTTTATTTTAAGCATTTTTTATCATCGTATAAAACAGAATACGAGGTAAATCAAGGGATACAGAAGAGAAAAGGGAAGGGGGGAGGGGAAGCAGCAGCTTATATAGGTTTCCACATATCATTCAGTACATTACAATGTAATACAGTATGGTACAGCTAACAATGCGGATGTCTGATAATCCGTGGTGAGGGGACATTATTGGAATACAGTTAACATGTGATCCTCAAATTACATATTAAAAGTGAACAATCTTTTTATAGGTGAGCATACATTTTAGAGGTGAACATACATTAAAGCATACTGGCTTAGTTGTAGGGAGGCAGCTGACTGTGCCCATGGAGTAGGAGGAGGGGAAATCCGGATGGGGTTAGTGGCCGGACTACGGCCCCTGGTGCAACTCTCCCTCTCTATAGAGCACCCAACTCTGCCAACTTGATTTATACCTACTTTGGCTATTTGTCAGCCGGCTAGCCATACGTTCATAAGCATGGAATGAGTCCAGTCTACTGAGGATTTCTGGCAATGTTGGTGTCAGTGGTGATTTCCATCTATGTGCGATGGCAGTTTTGGTAGCCATGAGACAATGAATCGTGAAAGGGATTGCTTCCGTAGGGAGGGTATTCGGAAAAATATGTAGTAGAAGGCACTCTGGGGATTGGGGAATTCGCACTCCCAGAATTTTGTACAGAAGAGCGTGTATGTCCCGCCATAATGTGACAATAGACGTACATGACCAAAATATATGCAAGAGGGACCCTTCGCTATTATGGCATCTCCAACAACTTGCGTCAGAGCCCGGATAGATACGGGCCAATTTGGTGGGGACTAGGTACCAGCGCATTGTTAATTTACAGTATGTTTCCCATTGATTAAGGCTATGGGACGCCTGTTTGGTTAATCTTTGGGCGCGATGCCATAATTCATTGGAAAAATGCTTTCCTAGGTCAGATTCCCATTTGGACATATATGATGGTTTGGACAGTTTGTCGTGTAGCAATAGAGTATTGTAACATAGAGATAGTGCTTTAGTTTTTGGAAGCTTGCCCATGCATTTGTGGATGAAGGGCGATGTAGGGTCGGGTTCCCTCATGCTAATCCCGCTTTCCTGGATTATATTTTTTAATCTGAGATAGGAGAATAGTTCCCGTGAAGGGATATGGAATTCCCTGATCAGGTCTGGGAAGGGCTTGATGCCTTCAGCGGACAGTAGGGAACGGACTTGGGTGATCCCCTGCTTAAGCCAGTTATCTAAGTGAATGTTTGAGGTTTTTGTAGTCAGGGCTTGGAGTGGGGCAGCTAGGAGTAGGTCGTTATTTCGTAAGAAGAGCGGTGTAGTTTGCTTCCAATTATGAAGGAGCGCGACTGTGGTGGGCAGCAAGGATGTGGCTTTGGGAAGTTTTGACCCTGCCCACAGGGATAGTGGGATTGAGCCATTAGGTGTGCAGGCGTTCTCCAATGCCAGCCATATTGGGGGAGAGGGACGCTCAAGGATCGCAAGGCCCTGGGCCAACAGGGACGCCCTATAGTAGAGGGATATATTGGGAACACCCAATCCTCCTTTTGTGAACGGGCGCCATAGTGCGTTTTGCGCTATCCTGGGGGGTTTTCTCTTCCATATATGAGCATTGATTATGGCCTGAAATTTCTTTAGGAGCGAGTTAGGGATTGCAATGGGAAGAGTGCGGAATAGGTATAAAATGTGTGGGAGGATCATCATTTTTACAGTATGGATACGTCCTAGCCAGGAGATCTCCTTCTCCTCCCAGGACTTAAGGAGTTGCTCTAATTTGTGAATGAGTGGCAGGTGGTTTTCATGCGTTATTGCTGAGAGCCTCGTTGGCAATTTGATACCCAAATATGAGATGGAGGAGTTCCGCCATTCAAATGGGTATAGCGTTTTTAGAGGGGTTAGCGAGGTATGTGGCAGTCCCAGTGCCATTGCTTGTGTTTTTTTGGCGTTGTTTTTATAGAACGAGACCTTACCGTAAGTTTCCAGCAAAGTTAGTAGATTTGGTAAGGATTTTTCTGGGCGTGATAGGAAGAGAAGGACATCATCAGCGAATAGGGCTATTTTTTGAGTCCCAATGGGGGTAGATAGGCCTTCGATCGAGTTGTCACTCTTGACGTGTCTAACCAGAGGTTCCATGCATATTATAAAGATTAACGGGGAGAGGGGACAACCCTGTCTGGAGCCATTCGTTATTTGGAAAGGTTGAGATAGGAACCCTGAATTGAATACCTTGGCTGCTGGATTGGAGTATAGGGCCATAATGCCTTTCAGGAAGTCTTGTGGTATGCCCACTACAGTTAGAACAGCCCTCATGTAAGACCAATTAAGGCGGTCGAATGCTTTTTCCGCATCCAGGGCTAATAAAATGCCGCTTTGGTTGGTTTTTTGGGCCCATGAAATGAGGTTCAGAAAGTGCCGAGTGTTATCCCCCGGTTGTCTATGCGGGACGAAACCTGCCTGTTCTGGGGAGACCAGGTCCCTCAGGAGGGGTTGGAGGCGGTTGGCTAGTAATTTAGCAAAAAGTTTAATGTCTGCGTTCAACAAGGAGATTGGTCTCAGGTTGGCGCATTCGGTGGGCGGTTTGCTGGGCTTAGGAAGTGTAACGATATGGGCTAGCAGCATTTCCTTCGGTATTGTCCCTGAGTTCCTGAAGGAGTTGAAGAGGATTGTGAGGTATGGAGTGAGCTGTGGCTCAAATGTGGAGTAAAAGTGGTTGGAGAACCCGTCTGGGCCCGGAGCTTTATGTTTGGGTAATTTGCGAATTGCATTTCGTATTTCTTCCTCTGTGAATTTGGCTGACAGGGTTGCGCATTGCTGTGCCGAAAGGTGCGGCAGCCCTGCTCCTGTCAAAAAAGTGGCTATTTCTGGGTCTAATGGCTGGTGTAAAGTACTGTCCTGTGCGAGGTTATATAGTCCCTTGTAAAAGTTAGCTAGTTCGTCTACTATATCTTGTGGGTTGAATAGCTTTGACCCAGTGGACGAGGTCATATATGGGAGTTTAGATTGTATGTATCGGGATTTTAGTCGTTTTGCGAGTAGTTTGCCTGCCTTGTTCCCTTGCATATAGTAGGCGAGCTTTAATTTGCGGAGCTGTCGTTCCACACTTATCAGGGATAGATCAAGTATTTTGTCCCTTAGCTTTTCGATAGTACGGGATAGATTTTTAGTTGGTTTAAGTTTATTAATTTGTTCTAAGGATTTAAGTTGAGATAGTAGATTATCTGACTCAGTGTGGGTTTTCTTTTTGTTTATTGCGCCTGCCTGGATTAATAGGCCTCTTAGCACGGCTTTTAGGGCAAGCCATTTAGTGTCTATGCGCGTGCTGTCGGCAAGGTGAGTCTCGAAAAAAGATATTATGTTATCCCGAATTTTTGCAGCTGTAGTCTCGTTGTCTAGGAGGGATTCGTTTAAGCGCCAGGCACTGCGCCCCCGTGACGGGAACAGGGCCCTAAAAGTAGTGGTTACCGGCGCGTGGTCGGACCAAGTCCGGTCACCTATTTGCACTTCTATTATATTGGGTACCGTATTTTTATCTACCCAGCACATATCTATACGAGAGTATGTGTGATGGACTCGTGAGAAATATGTGTAGTTTCGTTCTTTCGGATAGAGGGTACGCCACGAATCGTAAAGGTCGTGCCTGTGGAGCAGCGTGTTAAGGGTTGCGCTCATTGTGTTAGCAAGTTGGAGGGGTTGTTTGTTTGCTATTCGCTTAATGTCTAAGTCGGGGTCTAGCGTGCAATTGAGATCGCCACAGATAATAGTATGCCCCACGCGGATAGTAGAGATTTTGTTTAAAGCTCTTCTGATGAAGGAAATTTGGGAGTTGTTGGGTGCATATATGGAAGCGATCGTAAGTTGCATTCCATTCAAAGAGCCTACCACTATAAGGAGCCTGCCCAGCTCGTCTACATAAGTGTTGTCAAGATGGAAGACCCAGTCAATATGGAACAGAATTGCCACTCCTCTCGTTTTGTTTGGGGCAAGGGCATGAAATACCTGCTGATACCTGGATGAGCTTAACTTGGGGGGGTTTCTTTTGCACATGTGCGTTTCCTGGAGGCAGACTATGGCTGCCTGGGAAGTATGAATGGTCTTAATCACAGAGCTCCTTTTAAATGGGCTATTTAGGCCGTTAACATTCATAGAGAGACATTTAAATTGGTACATCATCTTAAAGGGATATATAATAGAGCTTGTTAGTCACAGCATGCTGTTTGCCAGCGACAGACATGGAGCCTGTGGCTAGGTGGTGCGTAGTGTAGAATAAGGGAAGATCAGATGACTGATTACGTCCTGCACAGATATGGGTCAACTTAGCTGCCAAGGGGATGGGAGGGGAAATAACAGGAAAGACAAAATCAACAAACAAAGGTATATACATTAACTCTCTGAGATGAGAGAAAATACTGGGATCCAGAGGGGAGCCTAAAGCTCTAGGCACCTCGGATACCCTTGGGGGGTCGTGCGGAACAGGACCGCACCCGGACCAGATTCTCAAAGTAGGTAGGAATGGAGAGGAGAATATGCGCGGGAGGGGCTGAAATCTGGACAGCATTCTCACCTATGCCCTCTCTAAATCACTGAGGCAATATAGGGGAGAAGGGTAACGGATTTATAGTAACTTAACCGGGAGTACTGTGGCTAACTGATGGATGAGTTTTTTTGTTTTTTTTTTTATTATTTTTTTATTTTATTTTTTTTATTTTATACTTTATTTTATTTTTCCCTCCGTTGAGCTGAGCATGGTCGGTAGAGTATCTAAGGTTATAATCATAAGTCTCAGGATGCGACCATTTAACCATGTGTGTGCTTAACGCTCCGAGGGGAGGGGGGGCCTTAGGAGACCTAGCCTTGGGGCCTGCTAAAGTGCAGGAGGGATAAAATGGAACACATGGAAGCCTAAACTCATCCGTAGGGAAGAACTAACATTGTAATAGAGCAATTTACCGGGGGGGTCACTCCCTTGCCAAACATTCCTCAGATGAAGCAGTGAAACAAGCATGACCTCCCCTCATGAATATAAGCAATACTTAGTGGATACTATAAAAACGTTTTTTTTTTTTTTTTTTTGTTTTTTTTTCCTTTTAACTTGTGAACTATTCATGCCTTCCCACCCTACACCCACATTAAACATTTTGCCACCGTGTATGTTCATACGATACCACTCGAAGCAACTGGGGTCTATGGCCCTTATTGGTATATTATCGCAGAGTCCATGCGTGTGGCAGAAGCCTGCTGGAGACAGTTCAGGGGTAAGTGGTTAGTGTCCGAGTTGGGCGAGGGCATCGGCAAGCAGCATGGTGTCTTCTTTCGCGGCTGTAGAATACGTCAAGGAGTAGAGGCAGGGAGACGCTGTCCTAGATGGGGTGGCCATTAGCGCCGAGCGCCAACCATCTGCCAGTCTGGCTGGGACCTCTTCGGGGTGGTCGAGGCGTCTGGTTGTAGGTGGGTGGTTTCTTGCTGGCCCCAAAGACCCCATTGTTTCAGCATGGTGAGCCCTTTCGAGGGGTCATCTATAATGTGGAGCTTATTCTGCCGCCAGACCAGCAGTCTCGTAGGAAATCCCCAGCGGTAAGCCTGGTTGTGGTTGCGTAGGGTTTTGGTAATGGAGGAGAATTCTCTGCGTCTTGCCATAGTGAGGGCCGATAGGTCCGCAAAAATAGAGACAGCATTATATGGGTCGGGCAATGGGGATTGGGCTCTGGCGGCCTTAAGAAGAGCCTCCTTGGCTTTAAAGTGATGATAGCGCACGATAATGTCGCGCGGGACGTCCGCGCCGAATCTGGGCGGTTTTGGAACCCGGTGGGCTCTGTCCAGTTCCCAGGTAACACCGGAGAGGTCAGGGACCAGCGTTGTGCTTAATGCGATAATGTAGGCCGAGATCTGGTCTGTTGTGACGGACTCTGCTACTCCCCGGAACCGCACGTTGTTCCTGCGGGAGCGGTCCTCCATGTCCGCCATTTTGTGCCATAATTTGGTGTTATCTTCCTCTAGTTTCTGTAGTCTGTCCGCCATCAGGTTTTGGGCAGAGGAGAGATCGTCAGTTTTCCGTTCGACCTGATCGGTCCGGTCACCCAATTCCTCTAGCTCTTGATGAATGCCCGCCAAGGAGGTGGTGAAGTCCTCCTTAATGGTGGACCTGAGGTCCGCGAGCGCTTGTCTCAGATATTCTTTTGAGAATTGTGAGTCGTCTGATTGTGAATGCGTGGGCGACTCGGTGCAAGGGTCAGGGTCCGGAGACTGAGCTCTGCTGGCGGCGCCATCTTGGGCCTGTTTCAGCTTTTCCCTCTTGTGGTGGCGGACCGCGTCCGTGAGTTTTGTCTGCTTCGAGGGAGACATTAGAAGCCGTGTAGCCTTTGCCCCCCGCTGGGACAAGGTAATCCGGCGAGATTTCCTCTTTAATAGTATTAAATCTGGTCCGGGTGGTGCGGAGCTCCTACTCCATGCGACCGATCTTGCCGGAAGTTGGACACGCCCCCCCTTTTATAATCTTTTAATAGTTTGGCGAAAATAAAGCATTTTGGGGCTTTACGAGAAAGTTCATTTATGTTATTTGGGCCCTGTTGTTTTTCTTTGCCATACAAGTGACATTAGATGTTTGGTGGCCCATCAGAAGTTTTTGCAAATCTAAGAGAACTGCTTTATAACCTATTCAAAAAGCATAGGCACCAATGGCACTGTATTTGTTTCCGCATAGACTGCACAGTTGAAGGCCATCTCTGTATCTAGGGATATCAACATTCGTTGTTGATCAGACCTCCAGCCAACTGGGCTATGTTAAGAACTGACCGCATATATCAGGTCCATTTCATCCAGGTACAAGTTCCACCTGGTCAGGGTAGACTGTTCCCCAGACAATAGGGGAGAGATATCGCCTTTCTTTAGTATTATTAATACCAGTATTTATAAAACACAGTCAAATTCTGCTGCGTTCCACAGTTTGAGAGAAATACACTACCATATACACAGTCCAGTCCATAGAGGAGCATTGGGCCCAGGGGAAATTATTGCAAACTGACTTTAACCTATCCATTTCCTAGTAATTAGCTTTGAGCAGTGCATAGATAAATTGCTGTTCACATTCAGCTAATACCATGTTGTTGTTTTTTTTAAGATGGGATTCCCCATTTTTGCTTGTTGGGAAGTATGCTTTATATGCAGTTGGGTTATTGGACACATGCATATAAAATTTCCAGCAAACCTCGGCAGCGTTGGTAATTTCTGCATATGCAGATTAGGCAAGACAATCCTGATTTTTGGGGTCCCATGGCACCTAATCCACATCAGTGGACACCAATTGGCACCAAATGCCTGGTGAAATACTGTGCGAAGTCTGCCCATGTGAGAGCACTTCAGTAAAGCTCTGTGCATGTAAAGCCCTGTGTGGGGCTGGCGAGCCTGGCTACATGTACGTCCGACCAATACAACCCTAGGTTCAGCATATCTGGTATTTTTTGGGTGCTCTGCTCTTCAACGCGCCTTGGTCCACTCACTCTTTTGAGCCTGACCGCTCATTGAGATGTCTAGCTGAAAGTGTATGTTTTTTGAATTCACCCTTCTCAATGAGCTGTAGTATGGCTCATTAAGAAATATTAGCAGGCACAATCTAGCCAAGCGTGCCTACTGCTTCTGAGTACCATCTTTGGAGGGGTTTCAACAGTAATTCATAAAAGTGCTAAATTTAATCGAAATTTAGATATTTGGGGGAAAAGAAGCACATTCTAAACGCATACAATACCTCTTCAGAAGACTGAAGTGCTTTTTGTGTCTGGAGTGTTTTTCTTTAACTCTTCTATGTAAAGGATTAGGCAAATTGTATTATATGAGGACAGTCCATGTACATCACATCATGTCACAAAAGGGTTAATGGGTTTATAAATGAGTTTCACTTGCAGGTACATGAAGCTATACCTTTTTATTGTTGCTTCCCTTAGTAAACCTTTCTCTCCTTTGGTAATTTTGTTTGCTTGAGCTATTATTTGGCAGTGAGTTACCATTCCCACGCATACACAAAATATGTGAGAGGTGTAATTAGATTAGTAATAAACGGTTAAATGTACATTTTTTTTTTTATTCTTTATTTTTGTGTGCAACAGGTTATGACAGGCTTGCAAAGCTCCAACAAACATATCAAACAGTAGAGATCATGACATTTGTACTAGCATAGTGGGGACAGGTGTTCCTGCCCTCTGGGGGTTACAGTGGTGTACCTGAAGAGTATAGCAGGAGATGGCTGGTTGTGACTAAGGCTATAACTACACCTCCGTCACACCTAGGTAACTGAACTCTGGGTCCAATGGCGCCAGAGGCGGCGGTGGGGAGAGAGGTCAGGGCGTTGTTTAAGGCCAGGTAGGAATTAAGCATAACTGACCAGTGGTGCGTGCAGGTGGGCCTATAAAACGAAAAGTCAAAATGGAGAAAGGTCCAGAACTAAAAGCCTAATGAAAAGTTTAACCAACTTTGAAGCGCAGTGTGGGAGAGTTCCATGAATTAGAGGAGGTAAGTTCCTGGCGCCTACTTCACCATCTCAGGTAGTGACTGTAGCGGCTGCGCTAGTGTAGTTGTTTTCGGGATAAATGGTGTGATTGTGGTCGGGTCCCATCTATGGGTCTCTGAGGTCTTTGCCTGTTTGTTGGAGCGGTGTAGGGAGTCCCCTGGAAGGCCCAGCTTGGTGAGGAGTGGGGGTGATTCAGAGATATCCGGGATGGAGTGTACCGCGTCTCCCGGTCTTAATTGTAAGGCCCGTGGCTGCGGAGCAGGGCTGTGAGGGGTTGTAGCATTTTGCGCCATTGTAGCCTCTCGCCGGAGAGATCTGCAAAGAAAGATATAGCCATGTTCTCGAAGTTGAGCTAGGCTGTCCCTGTAAGCGCCGCTTGCACCAGCATCTTGTCTGCTACGTTGCAAAACCGCAGTATCAGGTCTCTGGGTGCTGATTCAGGCACTTTCTTGGGTTTTGGAACCCGGAATATGCCCTCCAGGTTTACGGCTCTGGATTGCTTGAGCTCCAGTAGGTGGGCCACGAGCCGCCCGTTGAGATGTGGAAGCTCTACCGCGGGTATGCTCTCTGCTATTCCCCAGATTTTTTTAATTGTTGCTGCGTCTCGAGTCTTCAAGCAAGGCGAAGCGCAGATCGGAGGCTGCATGACGCTTGGTGAGTGTGTGGATGTCTGGTTGGAGCTGCGCTATTGTTTGAGCATTCTGCTCCGAGGTGGCTTCCACTATGTTGATGCGGTCTACCTCTGAAAGGTCCCCAGCATGTTCTCGAGCATTTCTGCCGTCACCGATCTGTAGTCGCCGGCCTTCGGTGGAGGCTGCAAGGTCTCCCTCTTTGTCTGGGGACAGCTTGTCTGAGTAGTCGTAGAAATCTCTCAGGTTGGTGGCCATCTTGGGCCCACTCGCGTCATGCGCTTGGTGGAGATCATCTCCTATCTTCATACCCGACTTTGGTCTCTTGGGTTTCAGTTTGTTGGTTTAGGGGCTGTGGTATTTAGGCTTGCAAATAGGTTATTTTTGCCATGTTTTGGTCGATTAGCCTGGAGTCCGCTAAGGTCAATTGCTCATCTCCGCCCCCCAGAAATTTATTTTTTCATTTGTATTTTGCCTTTTAGCTTTATATACTTTGTTTCTTGTGTATGTGTTTTTTTTTTGGGGGGTGGCGGGATTCTCTGAAAGTTTGTACAGTATTTTCTTGTTTAATTAAGACATTGTACATCAATGTTCCTCTTTACCATCACATTATTTTAGACTTCTTTTTGAATTTGTAACTCCACAAACCGCATGAAAAACCAGTTTGCTTTTTTTTATGTGTAGAGACTTCCCCTTCATACTGATTAAAGGAACAATCCCAGTATTACACATAAATACATTTCAGTATAACGCTCGAGTATTCTACTCCTGTTGCAGTTGCTTACCTCTAATCCAGCAACAAGATCTCTGTCAAGGTCGCCAATACAATATATACCACATGAGAAGGAGTACTCTCTTGGCTGTCTGACAGTTGAAGGGATGCAACATAATACCTTTATAAAAGTACTGATTTCCCTTGTAATTGACACTTTTATAATCCAGCAGAGGAGACTCTTTGTTAACATTTAAAGCATCTCAGGAACCTGAAGAGCTTTAGGGTTGAGTGTTCTTTTACTATCTCTTTTATAATTGTTGTGCAACAAATTACCGTATATACTCGAGTATAAGCCGACCCGAATATAAGCCGAGGCCCCTAATTTTACCCCAAAAAACTGGGAAAACGTATTGACTCGAGTATAAGACTAGGGTGGGAAATGCAGCAGCTACTGGTAAATTTCTAAATAAAATTTAGATCCTAAAAAAATTATATTATTTGAATATTTATTTACAGTGTGTGTATATGATGAATGCAGTGTGTGTGTATATGAATGCAGTGTGTGTGTGTGTATGAATGCAGTGTGTGTATGAGTGTTATATTATTTTTTTATTATTATTTTTATTATTTATATTTATATATTATAAATGTATTTATTATTATTTATATTTATATATTATTAATTTATTTATTTTGTTGTCCCCCCTCCCTGCTTGATACATGGCAGGGAGGGGGGCTCTCCTTCCCTGGTGGTCCAGTGGCATTGGCAGTTCAGTGGGGGGAGGAGGGGGGGCTGGCAGGAAGCACTTACCTCTCCTGCAGCTCCTGTCAGCTCTCTCCTCCTCCGCGCCGGTCCGTGCAGCTCTGATCTCAGCTCACACTGTAAGTCTCGCGAGAGCCGCACTATGACCCCGCGGCTCTCGCGAGACTTACACTGGGAGCTGACCGAGGTGCTGACCGGACCGGCGCGGAGGAGGAGGGAGCTGACAGGAGCTGCAGGAGAGGTAAGCGCTCGCTGCCAGCCCCCAGTCTGTATTATGGCAATGTAAATTGCCATAATACAGACACTGACTCGAGTATAAGCCGAGTTGGGGTTTTTCAGCACAAAAAATGTGCTGAAAAACTCGGCTTATACTCGAGTATATACGGTACATTTACATAACCCTTACATAAAACTTTTTTTTTTTTTTTTTTTTGTCAAAGTTATGTTCTTTTCTTTAAATGTTCTTTCATAATTGTACTTATTTGGATTATGCTGGCAAAACCGTTGTATTTCATATGTATTTATTTAACAAAGAGTTGTTCAAATAGTAATCTCATTTATGTGCTTTCATGGCTAAAATGTCACATGCTGAAGCAAAAAATCCATTAGTGGGTTTGTGTTTGAGATTTTTTTTTTTAATTCTTGTTTTTTTCTGTTTCATTGAAGGAGAGTGTTGTTTTTTTAATAACTAATTTTACTCTAATTTCTCTCTTCCTTTTTTTAGGAAAGAATAATATTTGGCTAAGTCATTTGGACAAAAACTATGGCATTCGTTTTATTATTGACTGAGCACATCAAAAAGAACTTTGACAGTATTTTGATAATTCTCAGTTAGCAGTGTGTCCCATCTCTTCAACACTAAGCAGTGTTTTTCAGAGAGAGAGAGAGCACATACTACTTTATGTAGCTCTGCTCATTAGGATTTCGAGCCTTCGAGTCCAGTACATTTGATTTTTAATTCTTAATTATTTTTTAAATTTTCTCTTCGTGGCCAGAAGAAAAAACAAAGGCAAGATGGTTCTGGACGAGTATTTGTGGATGGTTATTGTCGGTTTCATCATAGCGTTCGTCTTGGCATTTTCAGTAGGTGCTAATGATGTTGCCAACTCTTTTGGCACTGCAGTGGGATCTGGTGTGGTGACCTTAAGGCAAGCATGCATATTGGCTTCCATCTTTGAAACAGCTGGCTCAGTACTACTGGGAGCCAAAGTTGGTGAGACTATCCGGAAAGGAATCATTGATGTGAATCTCTACAATAATACCGTTGATTTGTTGATGGCTGGAGAAGTTAGCGCAATGGTTGGTAAGTAATTATTTGTAATCTTCTAGATTCGTCACTGGTAAAGTATTGGCTTGTGGAATAAAAAGCATCATTTAGAAAATCCAGAATTTACTGAGGTTGAAATGTATATAGGTGTTTTTAAAAAAAAATGTGTTCCTTAAAATAATTGTTGTACTAAATATAGAAGACGCACCTTATGAATGTTATGTCTTATATAGTGTACGATTCCAATTGTGTGTGTGTGTTTATATAAATATACATACATACTAAATTGCAATATCCAGTACAATTTTTTTGTCTCCTTCCTCTGTGAGTGTAAAACAGGACTGGCCTTAGGTATGTCGAACTTTATTATTGCAGGGGGTATCCACTAAGGATGAGTGTGGCAAAAAGAGGAGCTGCTGTTGTAATGTGATTGCCATTGTGTGCACCCTCTGCCCTGGCATCCTCAGCACAAACTGAATTTATTTTCCACACTAGAACATTGTTGAGGAAGACTGTCAAGGAATGGACAGTCAGGGTTGGCCAGCAGACAACTTGGTTGTGCTAAAAGTGGTTGGGAGATGGTAAGAGACATGACCACATAAGGAGAGACTTGAGATGGGCACAGGGGAACTTGGCAATGGGCTTAGGTGAAGAACATATAGGTGGACACAGGATGGTTTGGAGATGGGCATATAAGAAAACATGGGAAGGGTACAACAGGATGGCATGGAAGTGGGCGCACAAGGAGGGGATCGAAGCGCAATAGGAGAACTGCATTAAACAATTATAATAAATTAAATGAACATTTACCATATTTTCCTTTTTATATATAATAATGATGCATGGCCCTCCTAAGTTATTGCACAGGCAAAACTTACAATATATGTAGGATATTGAAATCTCTACTTTTATAAACCGTTGCTAAAGACCTTTGTAGGTCGAAACGTTGACTTATTTCATGTGAATTTAAATACACAGAATTTTGTTTTTCATCAAATCCAACGAGTGCTCTCATTCTTTTGATTTATGCATATTCTCAGTGCTGTGCAACACCATGGTCCGTTTAAGGAACAAGTTTATTTTTGGGAAGAGTGCCAGAACTCCTATATTTGTTTATATATAACAATGATTTAATTAAAAAAGTTTTTTTTTCCCCTTCAAATCAATCTACACTCAATACTCTATAATGACAAAGCAAAAACCAGTGTTTTAAAAACCTTGCAAGTTTCTTAAACAGAAAAAATACTGAAATATCACATCAGTTTTCAGAACCTTTTCTACGACACTTGAAATTTAGCTCTGTCTCATCTTTAAAAAATGTCTACACTTTGATTGGTGTCCAGCTGTTAGGAACAACCAGGGTTATTACTAGAGCTTGTGTCCGACCAAACTGAGTGGTGGTGAGGTAACTTTGTGTGAGCTACATAGATCATGCGTGGACGTAACAAGAAGCATAAAAGGCTGCTTGGAATTTGGAGAAAAATAATAGGCCTAAATTATTATTATTATTATTATTATTATTATTGGTATTTATATTACGCCAGCATATTCCATAGCACTTTACAATATTATCAGAGGGGCAGATTTAACAATAATTACAAATACATACAGGAACGATAGGTTGAAGAGAACCCAGCTCAAATGAGCTTACAGTCTAGAGGAGGTGGGATATAAAACACAATAGGACAGGAGATAGCAATCAAACAAGGTGGAGTGAATCAGAGCTGGAAGAGAGAATAGAGTGCTGCCCTTTAGGAGAGAGCAAGGAGCAGGTATGTAAGGTAGAAGTTACTCTGGGAGGCTGTAAGTTTCCAAAAGAGATGTGTTTTGAGGCACTTTTTAAATGATTGAAGACAAGGGGAGAGTATGATGGTGGTAGGCAAGCTATTCCAAAGGAAAGGAGCCACCTGCGAGAAGTCCAACAAGCGTGAGTTGGCCATATGGGTGCAAGCAGCAGACAGGAGAATGCAGAGCGGAGAGATCAAGAAAGGGCATACCTACGGACCAGTGAAGAGATATAGGAGGGGCTAGAATTGTTTAATGCTTTATAGGTGTGGATTAGTACCTTGAATTGACTCCTATAGGATACAGGAAGCCAATGTAAGGACTGACAAAAGGGAGAGGTGTGAGAGGAGCGACAGGAGAGGAAAATAAATCTGGCAGCAGCATTCATTACAGACTTCTGGGAAGACCAATTAGGAGAGAGTTACAATAATCCATGAGAGAGATTAAATTACTCGGACTGTGAGAATCATGATTATCTGGTTTTATGAAATCAATATTGAACTGTTTGGCCCCAATTCAAAGCATCATGTCTGCAGGAAACCAGGCACCACTAATTACCTGCTCAATACCATGTTAGCGGTGAAGCATGGAGGTGGTACCATAATTCTTTTGGTTGGGGCGTAGTTCTGCAGCTGGGACTGGGAGACTGGTCAGGGTTGAGGGAAAACTGAACACCGCAAAATAGAGATATCCTTAATGGAAACTTGGTCCAGTGTGGTGAGAACCTCAGACTGGGTTGAATTATACACTTCCAACAGGACAATGATCCTAAGCACAATGACAAGACAAGAGTGGCCTAGGGCCCACTCTGAGAATGGCCTAGCCATAGCCTAGAACAATTGAACATCTCTGAAAAGACCTGGAAATGACTTCTGATTGACGGCCCCATCCAACTAGACAGAGCTTGGGAGGATCTGCAAAGATGAATGGCCAAAATACAGGTGTTCAAAGCTGATTACATCATACCCAAAGTGCTCAAGGCTATAATCGCTGTCAAGAGTGCTTCAACTAAATGCTTCAATGTTATATTTCAGTTTTTTCTTCTTAATATATTAGTAGTGTAAAAAAACATATATATATATATATATATATATATATATATATATATATATATATATATATATATATATATATATATTTTTTTTTTAAATTCTTTATATATTTCATTATGGGTTATTGGGTGCAGATTGGTATGAAAAAAAATTAAACAGGTATCGCCTAAGGCTGCAATTTTGAAAAAAATATAGGAGTTTAAATCCTTTCTGAATGCATCAAATGAAAACATAAGTGAAAAATCTTCTTGCCTTTGAGGACTCCAAGAAAATTTTGCCTGGTGCAACTATAAGCAGATAATCCTGATAATTGCTTGTCAAACTGAAACTGTGACTTAATAAATTGCACAGCACTTTCTGTGTTGCAAAAATACCCTGAGTGACGTTTTCTTGTTAAGCATGTATCTAGCTATATTTCTAAAAAAATTCATAGCCCTATATGAGAAATTCACTGGGATCTGGAGTTTAATGTATTTGTTCATGCAGCTCACCCTGCTTGTGACTTACACAATCAACCTACATACTTCCTGAAAAATAAATCTAAAGTTTTCTTCTTCTTTTATTGCACAGCGTGTTAAATTTGGATTTGTTTTTTCTCCTGCTCTGTTAATTATTTGCTAGAGCCTGCAACAGTCCATTGTGTGTGTGTGTGTGATTAAAGTTCAAATAACAGAGCATGATCTAAAAACCTTTAAAGTAAACACACTGTGCTCTAACAATGGATTGAAAATTAGATCATTGTTTTATGCAGGCTATGTGAGTCACAGTCAGGAGAGGTGTGGCTAGGGCTGCATAAACGGAAACAAATGTGCTTTAACTCCTAAATAGCAGAAAATTGAGCAGACTGATCTATACGCCAAGACTGCTTAATTAAGCGAAAGTTGTTTTGGTGATCAGTGTTTCCTCGTTGAGATTACTACCTGCATCTCCCCATTATTAAATAATAACACTAAAGTTTTTAAACTTACCTTTATTGCAGGGTTGGGACAGTATGTTCTCTACATCCACTCCACCTCTGATGACTTTTGTCCAACTCATTGAGCACTGGGGACATGGAGCGCAGTGTGCTGAGTTGCATTGGACACATTTGACGTCTTTATATCAAAGCACACTTTTGCAACTGTTTTCTGTTTCGTTGCAGGTTCTGCTGCTTGGCAGTTGATTGCATCTTTCTTGAAACTCCCCATTTCGGGCACACATTGCATTGTTGGCTCAACGATTGGTTTCTCCCTTGTTGCAATTGGTACTCATGGTGTGCAGTGGATGCAGCTTGTCAAGATTGGTAAATGAGCTTTGCTTTTATGAGTGAGGGTATGTGGAATATGTTAATAGATATCTCTGGGATATAAATATACCCTTTCTAAATGATGGATGTGAATGGTGGCTATTGTAAAATTACGCTAGCCTTCCTGACATGATCACACGTATGTCATATGTATGCAGAAATATTACACTCAAACAAATTAAAATTTTATCACATTGAAAGTGCTCAACTATATCTTCACTCACAGAACAAAAGTTGCACTCCAGAAATAAGTGAGTTGAAATCTAGCTATTCATACAAGACAAAGTATTTTGGGTTTTTTTTTGGGGGGGGGGAGGTAGGGGGGTGGGGGTTTGGCAATCCTGAAATTATTTGTGCATTTAAAAGGGTTTACCCTAAATGTATTTATTTTCTTTCATTGAAATAGGAAAGGAGCCCATTCATCCATGTATACAGTATCTCACAAAGGTGAGTACACCCATCACATTTTTCAAAATATTTTATTATATCTTTTTATGTGACAACACTGAAGAAATGATACTGTGCTACAATGTAAAGTAGTAAGTGTACAGCCTGTTAACAGTGTAAATTTGCTGTCCCCTCAAAATAACTCAACACACAGCCATTAATGTCTAAACCAGTGTCAACAAAAGTAAGTACACCCCTAAGTGGAAATGTCCAAATTGGGCCCAAAGAGTCAATATTTTGGGTAGCCACCATTAGTTTCCAGCACTGCCTTAACCCTCATGGGCATGGAGTTCACCAGAGCTTCACAGGTTGCCTCTGGAGTCCTCTTCCACCCCACCATCATGGAGCTGGTGGATGTTAGAGACCTTGAGCTCCCCCACCTTCCATTTGAGGATGCCCCACAGATGCTCAATTGGGTTTAGGTCTGGAGACATGCTTGGCCAGTCCATCACCATTACCATCAGCTTCTTTAGCAAGGCACTGGTCATCTTGGAGGTGTGCTTTGGGTCGTTATCTTGTTGGAATACGTCCCTACAGCCCAGTCACCAAAGGGAGGGGATCATGCTCTGCTTCAGTGTGTCACAGCACATGTTGGCATTCATGGTTCCCTCAATGAACTGTAGCTCCCTAATGCTGGCAGCACTTATGCAGGCCCAGACCATGACACTCCCACCACCATGCTTGACTGTAGGCAAAACACAATTGTCTTTGTCCTCCTCACCTGGTTGCTGACACACACACTTGACACCATCTGAACCAAAAAAGTATATCTTGGTCTCATTGGACCACAGGACATGGCTCCAGTAATCCATGTCCTTAGTCTTTTTGTCTTCAGAAAACTGTTTGCTGGCTTTTTTGTGCATCATCTTTAGAAGATGACAGAGACCTTTTGGGGTCGGAATGTTGCTGTTGTGGTTCTCAATAAAGTGCCTGTCTTGAACCAAGGAGTGCCTGGACCCCTGTTATTTTACTCCTCTTTAGAAGAGGCTTCCTTCTGGGACGACAGCTGTGTAGACCAATTTGATACAGTGTGCGGCGTATGGTCTGAGCACTGACAGGCTGACCCCCCACCCCTTCAACCTCTGCAGCAATGCTGGCAGCACTCATACGTCTATTTCCCAAAGACAACCTCCTGATATGACCCTGAGCACGTGCACTCAAATTTTTTGGTCGACCATGGCAAAGCCTGTTCTGAGTGGAACCTGTCCTGTGAAACCGTTGTATGGTCTTGCCCACTGTGCTGCAGCTTTGTTTCAGGGTCTTGGCAATCTTCTTACAGCCTAGGCCATCTTTATGTAGAGCAGCTTTAATTTTTTCTTTCTTCAGATCCTCAGAGAGTTCTTTGCCATGAGGTGCCATGTTAAACTTCCAGTGACCAGTGTGAGAGCGATAACACCAAATTTAACACACCTGCTCCCCATTCACACCCGAGACCTTGTAACACTAACGAGTCACATGACACAGGGGAGGGAAAATTGCTAATTGGGCCCAATTTGGACATTTCCACTTAGGGGTGTACTCACTTTTATTGCCAACGGTTTAGACATTAATGGCTGTGTGTTGAGTTATTTTGAGGGGACAGCAAATTTACACTGTTATACAGGCTGTACACTTACTACTTCACATTGTAGCAGAGTGTCATTTCTTCAGTGTTGTCACATGGAAAGATATAATAAACTATTTACAGAAATGTGAGGGGTGTTCTCACTTTTGTGAGATACTGTATTTCAGTTGAAAATAGACAAAAATGTTAGGGACCACTGTCAAGTATTACTGAAATACTTTGTTCAAAGCAGTGTATAGTACACCTACCCAGTGCTGCAAGTCACAATATTTGACATAGTTTTTGTATAGAAAACATTGAATATCCTGTCTACTGTCCTCGAATTGTATAACAAGGTATTAGAAAAGAAATCTAAAAAAAATATCTAAAAACTGGATTAAATCCATGGTTTTCCATAAGCAAGATGCAAGAATCTTTATTTATAAAAAAAAAATAAAAAAATCTTCTACGTATATTTTCTAATATATTTTCCTGTCTCTACTTAAAACCTCTCCCACTTTCTATTTAAATAAACATGCTCTTTATAGAATGATTTCAAAGAAAGTGGAAGATGTTGTCTTTTTCACACAAGACTATCACAAATAACAGCTGACTTCTAAATTGTCATAAACGATATCTTATTAACTTGATTCAGAAAAAATATGAAAGCTAACATTATTTACTATTAATATCTGCAGGCCACCCTGCTGAAGATCTGTGGTGCTTTAGGATTTGGATTCCTTACCTCTACTTTACTGATCTTATTTGCACACACTGGCTTTAAACCTGAACTAGATTGCTCTAAACCTATGTGCATATCCTGGCAAACCAGAATCAAAAACTGCAAGGTGCTGCTTTAAAGATTCCCCTTTTGCATTTAATTCCTAACTTTATATATATTTTTTTTCTTTTAAAGAATTCTGTGCAAAAAAGAAGCAGTTTTAGAGCGGCTTGGCAATAACCAATGCTGTTTCAATACCTAAACCACAGACGCCCTCTGTAGCTCACATGGCAGTAATAGACTGCAAGCTTTGGTGGCAGCTTAAAGGACCACTTTAGGCACCCAGACCACTTCAGCTTAATGAGGTGGTGTGGGTGCCTGGTCCAGCTAGGGCTAACCCTTTTTTTTTTTTAATAAACACAGCAGTTTCAGAGAAACTGCTATGTTTACACTGAGGGTTAATCCAGCCTATAGAGCCTCTAGTGGCTGTCTCATTGACAGCCGCTAGAGGCGCTTGCGTGCTTCTCACTGTGAAAATCACAGTGAGAAGACGCCAGTGTCCATAGGAAAGCATTGAGAATGCTTTCTTATGGACTGGCTGAATGTGCACGCGCCTCCTGCCGTGCATGCGCATTCAGCCGATGACGTCGCTAGGAAGAAGGAGAGGAGGAGGAAAGCTCCCCGCCCGGCGCTGGAGAAAGGTAAGATTTTAACCTCTTCCTCTGGGGGCACCCTCAGGGCACTATAGTGCCAGGAAAACTAGTATGTTTGTTTTCCTGGCACTATAGTGGTCCTTTTAACACATCATTGTAGTACAGTGTTGACCGCTAATGCAGTGTTAACTTCCAATTTATCAGAGACTGTGCTAGGAGAACCACAGTTTGTCAACTGCTCATATGGTTTGATACAAAGTGGGGGAAGACACCCAAAGAATCCTTACCCCACAGCTAATACACTGAGATGTATGGTGCTCTTTTAATGTACTTTCATAATACGGTTGTACATTATTAGAATACTTTGTTTTGATTCCATGACTTGCATGAATTGAAATTAATAATCCATGTCAGTTTCTAAACACGCTCTAACATGTAATTCTCGGTTTCAGTGGCCTCTTGGTTTATTTCACCATTGCTGTCTGGTCTGATGTCTGCAGGGCTGTTTTTCATGATCAAGTTTTTTATCTTAAATAAGGTAAATCAATTCTTTTTAAAATTATTATTCAGTGTTTATTTACTTTTGTTTTAAAGATTGTAGAAGCTTAGCTCTTTCATATTACCCATAGAATATTTTAAGTGTATTCTATTTACACTTCTGTATGCAAAAATAACCCCAACAGACACATCTTGAAGAAATAATATTCTACTTAAACAGTTTGCAGTTTTGTTTTTTTTCTTGTTGGTTTTGATGTCGACTTGTTGTTTGCCAGTATCATCTTGAAAATTGTTTCTCTGTTTTTCAGGAGGATCCGGTACCTAATGGACTACGAGCACTCCCAGTGTTTTATGCTGCTACGATAGCAATTAATGTCTTCTCTATATTATACACAGGGGCCCCATGTAAGTAAGAAATGAACACAAAACTCGTTTGCATTGATTGTAAAAGGAGATTAGATTATTTAGAAAGTTTCTTTAATTCAATGTGTATTCACAAATAAGGTTTAGTCTACTACCTTTCGGGGTGTGTGTGTGTGTGTGTGAGATGTCTTTGTCCATACAATCAGATGAGTTATAAACCTACCCCCAACACTCTAGTTAAATAATAAGATGTATGTGATGAAGACTTTCTTCTTGTAGTTAAATTAATCAAATAAGAACATTCAGATGATTCCTATTGGTTCCGAACCACATTCCAGAACTCGCAAACAAAGAAAGCTTTGTGATTACTGATACCAACTGTTAATTATGCTCAACCCAGACACCTTTATCTAATTTGAATAGAATACCTAATTTGAGATTATGCAGGAGCAGCACGGCCCCAGGAAGCACCTCTAGTAGCCATCTGAGGAGTGGCCATTGGAGGTATCCCTAGGCTGTAATGTAAACACTACCTTTTCTCTGAAAACATTTTTTTACTGCAAAAAGCCTGAAGGGGATGATTATACTAATCAGATCAAATACAATAAGCTGTAGTTGTTTTGGTGACTATAGTGTCCATTTAAATCCTAGAGCGTATTCTTGATTGGTTTGACAGTTTAACATTTTCATCACTACTGGAAGTATTCTTTGGACCACAGAAGATCAGGTCAAGAGGGCTCACCCATTGTTTCTAAGCTCATCTCTGTATACTTGCTTCAAAAATTACATTTTATTTTTAACATGATGCCTTTTTGGCTATGTCTTTGATCAACCATTCTGACTTTATTGGCAATGACACTTGCTGCCAAACGTGTTGCCAGAATACAGAAACAGATTTTAAATGTCACATTTCGAATCACTACTGCACAATTTGTTGGCTCTCTTATACATACAAAAAGGAGAGTCTGCATTTTATCTACCCAGTCATTGTTTTATTTAAAATACAGTGTGCTGGAGTGTAATGTCCAAAATAATAAAAAAAAATCTGTAAATGTTGTGTATGAAATCGTACATCAAATGGCTGGACAATGAGTGATGATTCATCCAGTTTCCTAGAATATGTCCCACAATTTCTTGAAGGAGTTGGTTACTGTTCAAGAGCTTCAGATAAAATGCATAAAGATAAACTTTTTAAACTTCTATCAGATGTGGATCCATGTTTTGCTAAGCTGCTGGTTCCACACTGCTATAAACCATCCATTCCCAACCTTTTTTGGATCAAGGCACACTTTAATAAGAGGAACATTTTCTAGACACACCTATAGTTTTACCTTGTAAGCCATGTAAGAGAAGTATGCCTCTAAGAAAAATAAATACTTAAGAATTGTATTTAAAATTAACGCTCTAGGGTTCTTTAAACTTTTTAGATCACTGGTCCTCCCTGTAATGGTTAAAAATAGCTTTTTACTTCTATCCTGCAGGGAACTTTTCTTAATTTGTTTAGCCATGCCTTCTTGGCTGAGATCAACCTAGGAAAGAATTGCAAGACTAGTACGTATGCACATCAAAGTGCCACTCTGGGTCAATCGGCGTATCCATGCATCTCTATGAGGAGCGTTCAACATCTCCACGCAGAGCATGCAAACATTGCAGGACCTAACCAAGGAAACCTGTCTAGTTGATTTCTAAATGACAGCCGCTAGAGGGGTTACTAGGAATCAATGTAAACACTTTCTTTTCACTGACAAGGCAGTGTTTACATTGCTGAGTGCGCAGGCACAGGCTATAGACACCAAAACCACTACATTAAGCTGGAGTGGTTCTAGTGACTATAGTGCACCATTTAAGCTCATATTACTTTCACTCTTCCTTGAGGATGATTGTTCAGGAGACAGAACAGTAGTTATAAACCTTCCGCATGGTTATGCAATGTACATCTGGTAAGTTTCGTTTAGAGTATTCTTTTGCTGATTTTGTAAGTATCAATCTTTTAAATGTGTTGTGTGACATTTGGCTGCTACTTATAATCTTATTGTCTAGTGGTTGCTATGTCAAAACTAAACAAACTGAAGATAGTCCAGAAGTATCTGGCAGCTAAATAGTTCTTCTCATAAAATGAGTGTAGCTCTAGTCCTTTAAACCCCTCTATCCTTATATTTCTTAATTCGGTAGAAATTATGCAGTGCAGCAGTGTTATAAGTGCCTTTTGCTATGTGTATGAGTTTACCAGCACTCCCAAAGTAGAAGATGTGATTCTGAGCATGAAGATATTTTTTTTTTTTTCTTCACTCTCAAATAGGGAACTTAGAAAGCAACCAGCATGCAACTAACTAGCAACATGGTCTGAACTGGCAGTGTAAATGGCTCTGTGTACTGATGAAGGAACTTGTTGTATAAACACATTGATCTGCAGGACCAATGTGCAATAGCATAATGTCGCTACATAAATGTTAATACATGCCAATCTCCAACTCAAGTTTAGATTCATAGGGGACTATAGCATAGATACAGGCAAGTAACAAACTCTTACAAATCGATAAACTATTAAGGACCTTCCTGTTCGTAAGAACATGTGTATGACAGTTGTACCTTCAGATAGGTACAGATGTCGTTTAACATTGTGCTTACCTAATTGACAGAAAATGCATATATTCAAATATACACTATTTTACAATATAATATTTTGTTTTATGTATTTAACTTGTTGAATCACTTGTTTTTCCTTAGCTTTCTGGCCACTGTAAGTCAGCATAGTGAGCTTAGACAAAGTAGAAAAGACTGAAACAAAGCGAGTGATTTAGCAAGGTTTGGCCAACACTTCGCTGTCTAATTTTCTATGCTTTTTTTTTTTTTTTTTTTTGGTGCAGTTTTTTAAATTTGATAGAAGCACACACACACAATAAATATCCCCAACATATGATTTTCACCTGGACTAAACTGGTTTGCGATGTCAAATGCTAAATGTGTGATGGACATATAAAAGAAAACCATGCATCACATGTAAAAAAAGATTAACACAAGTTATAGGTTTTACATTTTCAGTGGTGTAATTTCTAGGGAAGCAACAGTTCCTCTAAAATGTACCATTAGTGTTTGCCATTTTATTTTATAGTTTAACTTTTTACAACTCTTATCACCTTAGCCACATGTCAATTTAGGTTGTTCAAATCTTCTTATTCTCAATTTGTGTCCTGTTGCGACCTATAGGCGCATCCCCTTGAGTCAATGCATCTCTATGGGGAGCATTCAGCTTTGCTTGAAGACACTTAATGTAATGCAATCTATGCATGATCTTGTCCAGGAAGTTCTTTTAAGTCACAGCCACTAGAGTTGACCTTGGGCAGTTTAAACTGCTGAGCCTGCAGGACTGGATTTTTATCCCAGAACCATTACATTGAATTCTAGTGGTTCTGGTAAATATAGTGTCCCCTTAACCAATCACTAAAACGATACATCTGAGTTTGAGTATCTGTGCTTAATAACTGAAGATTTGGAGTGTAACATGTGTGCTGTGTGGTCCAACTAATACAAGAGTGCATGAAACCAGTGATAATTTCTTACCTGCGGCATCATACCTTGCTCCTAGGTATAAATCATGTTTGTCAAGCTCTGTTCTGTATGATGTGGGTGTGACACGAGCTGTGTTATGTGGGTGTAATGATATTGTTATTGCAGAGAATTGAGATATTATTCATATCATTCTTGCAAATGTATATTTTGTTAAAGGTGAACATTGTAACTTTTTTTTTTTTTCTTTTCTTCACAGTACTTGGACTAAGTGACTTTCCAGTGTGGGGCACGGCTCTCATTTCGATAGGCATTGCTGTGTTGTTTGGCTTATTAGTGTGGTTCTTCGTATGCCCATGGATGAGAAAGAAGATCGCAAGTATGGTTTCCATTTTCTTGCGTTAATGAACTTCAATTTAAATTGGCTTCTGTCCCAACTAAATGCTACCTTACAACTCTGTGTAGATCACATAGGGATCTTCGTCAGTCTTCTGCAAGTAATGTGTCTTTATGAATTTCAAGCTGAAATAATGGCTGTGATATTATGCCCATGTCTAGGGATGATTCTCTGTTTTATTAGCTTCTTAAATGGATGCTCCAGGTTCTAAAGTCTGAATTTCTTTTAGGGGTTAACATGACGTATCCCTTGTCTCAATTCATAAAAGTTCAGATTTTAAGAGAAATGTACACTTGTTTAAGAATTTATTTGGCTGACATCCATGAGGGCTTATGATTCACTCCCATTGAGCAATTCTTTAAATGGAAGTGAGAGCTTCTATAGCAAAGCATTAGTCTGTTTTCCTAGGAAAATAGCATTTGATTGGTGCATTTATAACAATAACTGTGCATGCACCAATTATGGCTGAAAGGAAGGGTAGATTCATGTCATGAGCCATATCCCAGGGGAGGAGCAGACTTGTGGTTGGAGAAGCAGGTAAGTAAATGTTGTTGGTTTTTATAAATTTTTTCTTCTCATTTATGAAGTGTACGAGGCATTTAATGTATTAAAGGAACACTCGAAACAGTAAAACCAAATAGGCATGTTTTAGTGTTACATTATGGTATCGACAGCCAGCACTCAAGTAAGTATTTCTGATTAAACAATATAAAAACTTTAATATAGTTGTAAAAAAACACTATAGGGTCAGGAACACAAACATGTTTTCCTGTCCCTGTGTGTAAAACCACCATTTAGATGGCTCGTCCTCTATTTACCCCCTTAAAAGAGTAATAAAACTTGCCTTATTTCCTGATGTGCTGGCCCCGCCCCCGATCAGCCTCCTTGCTGACATAATCAGAATTTCTGACTTTTAAAATAAATTTTATTTTTTTTTCCATCCCCATGGGAAAGCATTGGATTGGCTGAAATCACAAGGGGGTGGGGGCGAGGCCAAACGCCAGCTTGGCCCATCAGCACCTCATCATAGAGATGATTTAAATTAATGCATTAAAGGAGTGTCCCTAGGGGGCAATGCAAACAGTGTTTGCATTAAAATGCCTGCAGGGAATGATTATACTCACCAGAGCAACTAAATTAAGTTGTAGCTGTTCTGGTAACTATAGTGTCCCCTTCTAATGTTTTTCTACCATGATTCAGGCATAACTCAGATATTCAATATGTCTTCTCAATTGTGTTCACCATTACAATTTCTCCCTGCTAAGGCTGTACTGCAAAAGAAAAGTATTTTTTTTTTTATTAATGCATTATGAATGTATTTCACAGTTTTGTGAACAGAAACACCAGCATTTTATGAATGTGCATGTGATTTGTAATGTGAATGTGATTTAAGCTAGGCGAAACACTTTCAGTGTGTTTCCCCTCGCTTACATTTTCCAAATCTAAAATGAATAAACATGTACTTGTGGATTTATATAGTGTGCGGTCTGCTTCTAGGAAAGTGTAAAGAAAAAGGCATATGCTAGGGCTATGCATCAAATAGACAAAGGTTTGCTTCCTCCTCTGCGTAATCACATCCGTTTATCTTGTATGTTATCTATGTGCAAAAACTAGAATATTTAAATGCAAGTAGTTTTGTTACTTAATGCATTATATATTAAGGGGTTCATTTGGGATTAAATTAAAACTATAGTGATCCTTTAATCTGTTTTAAATGTTGGGGGGTTTTTTTGTTTCTTTTTTGTTGTTGATGTTTTTATTATTTTATATCTTGCTCTAATTTAATATACACTGTACAAGAAGGCTGTAATGCACTAGAATAAAATGACCAGATCAGACATGTATAGGTGCACTAGAGCTAGAAAAACATAAAAGGGTTTGCAAAATAAAAGTAAAACGGGGCGAGGGTGCGCAGTGATGTAGCATGTTTGCATGCCACGTGCGCGTTCTGAGGTGGGGCGGACGGATACTGCGGTGGGAATGAAATTCTGAATCTACGTTGACGAGCAGGACGACAATGGTGGAGGGTATTGGAGGAAGGAGAGCGAGTTTGGAGTACAGCTGACTTGACTCGATGACTGAGGTTGTAGTGGTCGCAAAGAGGTGAAGGAGGGGAAAAAAGCCTAGAAGTTTCCAGGAGATCTCTAATTGGAAAAGAGAAAAAAGGAAGCAGGTCACAGATATGCTAAATCTAAGAGGTGTACAGTAAAGTAAACTAACATTCTCTTTAAATCACATGTAAATTGCTCTGTGCTTTGCTGATCTATATTTAGCAAATATAATATATTATATAATATATAAATCAAAAGGTATCAAAAGAAAGAAGAAAAAAAACTGAATAAGAGAGGGGAGAAGAGGAAAGGAGGAATTGGAAGAGGAAGAGAAAGGGGGAGACAACGTTATATCACAACTTTGTGTTAAGCTACAATATCATTATTAAACAAAGCGCATCTTAATCTGATAATAAGCACTATATTACTATTAGCAAAGAAAGTTATGAGGTCTCCCTGAAGAATGACCCACCTCTCTACCTAGCCTTTTTAAAGGATCACTATGGTCACCTAAATTACTTTAGCTAAATAAAGCCGTTTTAGTGTATAGATCATTCCCCTGCAATTTCACTGCTCAATTCACTGTCATTTAGGAGTTAAATCACTTTGTTTCTGTTTATGCAGCCCTAGCCACACCTCCCCGGCTATGTTTGACAGAGCCTGCATGAAAAAAAAAAAAAACTGCTTTCACTTTCAAACAGATGTAATTTACCTTAAATAATTGTATATCAATCTCTAAATTGAACTTTAATCACATACAGTAGGCTCTTGCAGGGTCTAGCGAGCTACTAACATAGCAGGGGATAAGAAAATCTTAATTAAACAGAACTTGCAATAAAGAAAGCCTAAATAGGGCACTCTTTACAGGAAGTGTTTATGGAAGGCTGTGCAAGTCACATGCAGGGAGGTGTGACTAGGGTTCATAAACAAAGGGATTTAACTCCTAAATGGCAGAGGATTGAGCAGTGAGGCTGCAGGGGCATGTTCTATACACCAAAATGGCTTCATTAAGCTAAAGTTGTTCAGGTGACTATAGTGTCCCTTTAACCAAAGTTGGAAAATAGACTCTATACAGATACTACTGACTGCTGGGTTAATAGCCTCATTATCCATCAACTCTGGTTACTCTCTACTGTGATCTACTGGCTGTTTGATTCTGCTTTTTTCAGGGGGGGTTTCTCTTTTTTTTTTTGTTATTTTCCGTGCTCAATTGTACAGGAAGAGCATTTCAGGCATTTCTTGGGTTTTCAATTTTCATGTATAAAGCGGTTACACATATTTATATAACATTTGTGGTTTGTTTCAAGTTGTACAGTGAAATGCTTGTGATGAGCACCTTTGTGTCGTGTTCATGTTTGGGGGCAAGCCCAGGTCTGTCTGAGTGGTGGTATGCTAGTGATTGGTTTGTATTGCGTTCCCGTGGTGCTACAAGCGTGTGGTGTGGTGCAGGCGGATGTCGTGTTGCTGAGCAGCCTGTTCTCGTGTGGTCACATGTTTGTTTCTTGCTGTGTGAGTGCCAGGTTTTGAATATCTCCTGGGTGCTGTGCGCGGCGTGCTTGTCAGGTGTGCATATGTGTTGGTCCCAGTAGCCTTTTATTTGTTGAGTGGGGTGGGTGTGTAGACCCTTTGTGTTCAGGGATTGTGGTTGTGTTCCTGTGTGGGATACGCCTCATGTGAGTTTGGTGCAGCCGTAATATATGCATAAAATGACATGAACAGAATAGCTAAACAATAAAATAAGTAACATAAGGCTATAGGCATTCCATGGTTGTATGAGAGTTTAGGTTGTCAGCTTGGCTGGTATGGGCCGGGTAGTTTTGTGGTTGTGTCAAGGCTTGTTAAAAAGACATACTTTGAAAAGAGATAAAACCTAAAATGGACAAAAGTATGATGGGGTTTTTCTCCACAAATGCTCCTAAGGATCAGAGAGAAAAAAACTCCTAATTTGAGCATTGAAAGATCTGCAAATGTCAGCCTTGCTTCGCAAGCAGAATTATAAGAAGTGTCATCTTCTTATTTAAAAATCTGTCTCGATTCTATATTAGAGACAATCAAAGAAGAAATAAGAGCCAGCCAGTGCAGCAGAAATTAAAGGAGAAATCACATCAATAGGCAATAGATTAACTAGCTTGGAAGAAAGAATTTAACACATTGAGAAGAAATATCTGGATTCAAAGACCGGACAATCAGTTATGTAACAAAAACGTATAAGGTTGGAAGATAAATTAGCAGATTGAGGATCGAGCTAGAAGACACAATCTAAAAGGTTCTGCAATATACCAGAAGTAGTAACTACAGAAAAACTGCAGGACTATCTACAGGAATTGTATAAGAAAATATAAAAAAATATACCTGATCAGTACCCTATTATGAATCGGTGTGGCACAGAATGCCTAAACCTAAAGGTATTCCTGAAAGATCAACAAGAGATGTTATAGTTAATTTCTTCGCATATCAAATGAAAGAACAAGTCTACAAGGACTAGCTTTTCCAATTTACTCGTCTTTCAAGACTTTTCATACATTACCAGCCTTAAAAGAAATCCTTCGATTCAGCTGGGAAATTGAAAAACTGGGTAATACAGAAGAACTGGGATTAATGTATAAGATACCCATTGGAAGATGTATAAAACGTGAGAACGATAAGATCTCAGATCAATGTCGTTGAAGAGAAGGATTTCCCTTTCTTCTCTCTAAAGAAGCTATGATCTAACAATAAGAGGCATTTAAAAAAAATTTTTTTTTTAAATGCATATAATCAGACATTTATTGATCCACTATTTGCTTAGTTATTGAGGAGTTATACATGTTTGACTGTATGACTGTACATATACATGTGGAATCTTATTTTATTTTTATTTATTTTTCTTCTTCATTTTCGCCATTTCATGCTTTATTTTTCGCCATTTGTTGAATGAAAGGTGGATCAGATGTGGATCCTTTTCTGTTTTTGTAGTTGGATGTCTTTTAATGTTTTTGTATTGTTTGGCGGCAGAGCTCAGAGAGTAAAAATTGATCTTAATGGTTAAAATATTATCGGTCAATACACAGGGGTTAAATTCACCTCACAAAAGGTCTATAGTCTTAACATATCTGACAAACGTAAGGGTAGACATTGCTTTCGCTAAGGAAACTAACTGGAGGGGAAAGTGATAGAATGATGTGGAAATCTCAAAAATATCCAAGGCTGATAACTGCCTTTAAACAAAGCAAAAGGTCTTGTGGAGTTGCCATCCTCTTCTCAGAAAGACTGCAAGTAGACTTACTTTATCAATACTTAGATGCAGAGATAGCAGGACCGCTATCTAATTGTTGTATGTCTAATCAAATATACCCTGGGGGATGTTTATATCCCAAATATTACTCCGACTAGAACATTAAAAAAGATTCTGGATTAAATGGAGGAAGTTAAAGAGGGTATTTGTATAATCACAGGAGATTTTAATTCTGTTTTAAGATCCTACTCTAGACAAAAAAAAGCCTGAAGGTATTAAAGTGAATAACTTGGTTACCAAACAAGCTAAATCTTTGTACAACATTCCAAATCAATACAACTTGTTTGATATATGGAGATTAATCCACCCCTTTGACAGGGATTATACCCATCTTTCCAAAACTCATATTTCTTATTCACGAATCGATATGATCTGGGGAAACTCACTACTCCTAGAGGAAGTTAAAGCAATAGAGATAATAGACAATGCGTGGTCAGATCATAGTATAATAAATATGGAAATACAAAATAAATATCCACAACTAAATAGATCTACTTGAAAGCTTAATTACTTTCTTTTGAAATATGAAGGCAATTATGAATAGAAAATAGAATTTTTTTTCTTAGACCATAATCTTCAGGACACTTCGCCAATTAATAATTGGTGTGCTTTCAAGACCGTTATGCGTGGACAACTCATTAAGCTTCAGAGTAGATATAGTAAAAAACAAGGTAAAAAATTATCAGCTTTATACCCTAAGAGGAGTAAGATTCTCCCTACAAAAGAAATTCTGACTGAAATAACTCAAGTCCAGAATAAAATCAAACTGTGTTTGTTAGATCGAACGATGAAAAATACAAGACCCCTGGTCCCGATAGATTTACCATCCAATTCTATAAATTATACAGTCATAAAGTTATTGGAGCTATGGTTTCAACTTTTAAAAGCACCATTCAAATAGGAGAATTCTCAGCCGAAATGACCAGAGCTAATATAATACCAATTCTAAAACAAGGGGAAAACTCCACAGAGGTTGTAAACTATCGACCAATATAATTAATAAACGTCGATGTTAAGATTTTTCCCTTAGTTGTAGCTAACAGACTTTTTGATAGAATTATTAATCCATCGACCGCTCATATAAGATCTATCCAACTTATTCTGAGGTTTGTTGGAGATTTAACCTAGAGGTGGGTACATATGAACATATCTATTGGAAATGTAAGGGTATAAAAAGAATATGGAATTGGATATTTGCTTTATTAGAAGATATGGGTATTAAACTTTTTTAAATCTACAACTGTAGCTTTGTTACTTCTTGACTGGCCTATTTTGGAACAACTAGATCAATGCCTAATTATCCATTGTTTTATTGCGATCAAAGTATTGATTGCTCATTCATGGAAAGACTAAGTTTTTTCATGGGCACATATAAAAAACAAAAAACAAATGATATTGCAAAGGAATATGGAGAAGAAATATACGTATATAACCTCCCCTTCTGGGGAATAAAAAAATAATCTAGAAAGATGGTCTCGCTACATAGAACAATGGTTCCCACTCCCCTGAGTAGATGATCAAAACAAATTTTTAATTATAATTTCTGCTGAAAATCAAAATAGGGATATCTGTGAGCTCTGACCCCCTTTTTGTTTGTTCTTTTTGTCTGTAATTGATATTTGTAGAATGCATACAATATAGAATATTGATTCTTCTATTCTCTTTGGTAGAAATGTGCATTATTGGTGTGTATGCTTTGGTCTTTCTATGTCAATCCTTTTTGTCAATGCAAAACTATAAAACAGACTTTTATTTTAGACAAAGCAGAGAAAAACGGGAGCGTGTTGCACATAGAACTAAAATAATAATGGTCAATACTCCATTAACAGTGGAAAATCAGACTCATAGATGCCACCTCATCATAGGAATGTATTAACTTACTTGGAGATGGATCTATCTGTCCTGCTCCGGAGAGCCAGGCATTTCACTAGCTGTGTACTCCTGCGAGATCAGGCATAGAAAGGTTGCAAAAATATGGTTGAGTTTGCTAAGAATATCGCTTGAATACTGGTGAGGGCGCCACAGATGCTGCCATCTTGCCCGTCGCTGTAGTCATCGGTCGCATATCTGAATATATGTCCTGAGATGTAAGAGGAATTTCAGGACCGGGATAACCCGCACCGGACCAAAGGGGGGTGGGGATAACAATTGCTGCAATCACTAGCCTATGCCGTCCCACTCGCGCTAAGTCAGCAAGAAGGCAGCCAAAAGTGACCTGCCTAAAGTCCCCAATCGACAGGTGACTGAGGTTAGTTGCTAAGATCAGTTATATCTGATTATTACACAAAAAATCTGGATGCTTTAGGAGAGCTGCAGCCCTGTGCATCCTCTCTGCATGGCAGCCAAGCCCCCCATTTAAATGTTTTTGGTTTTAATAATAAAATTCTCTAGGATTTCCCTTTTCTCGTTACATAGAAATCTCCGATTGCACTCCAAAGTGTATTTATACTGCATAATAATGCAATCCACGTAGCAAGCTACATTATGCTGAATATTGAATGCAATCTTTATTCTCCTACTGGCTTATTAGCTTCATGTAATAAATGCAATTGTAATGCTACCTTTTATTAGAGACAGTAAGTGACCTTTTTTGGTGTTTTCAAATTTAGTATCATATGCTGTAATGTCTCTGCTTTTGATGTTTCAACAGGTCGATTAAAGAAAGAAGGGGCATTATCCCGTATATCAGAAGAAAGCCTAGATGAAAAAAACCAAGATGAAGAGTCTCCTGTCTTCAAAGAACTGCCTGGTGCAAAGGGAAATGATGAAAGTGTGGTGCCTCTCACTAGTTCCACCACTGAAGCAGCTGTAGGATCTGATCCCATAGCCAATGGAAATACGAGAATACCATATGGTATGCTTGGCTTTTTTTCCCCCCGTCTTACTATTTTTGGTAGCTCTGATTTTTCTCATTACCATGTCTCTCGTAGAATGTGTAAAATAAGAACGGAAGGACACTTGGGATGTGTTTGCTTTTGTTGCTGCCATATATATATATATATCTATATATATATATATCTAGATATCTAGATAGATATATATATATATATATATATCTATATATATATATCTAGATATCTAGATATATATATATATATATATATATATATATATATATATATATATATATATATATATATATATATATATATATATATATATATATATATATATATATATATATATATATATATATATATATATATATATATCTAGATATATATATATATATATAGTAAAGTAGTTGGCTGCACTCTCGGATTCCAATAAAATATAACTTTTATTCCAGCTTCTAAAACAGATCAACGTTTCAGTCCAACTTGTGGACTTTCATCAGGATATAATATAATTACTTTATTATTGCTTGCCTTTTATTAAGGGTTCTCTTGATTAAAATGCATGCACAACTAATACATTTATATATATTTTCCCTGTATAATAGTAGAGAGAAAGGTGTGTGTTTATATAAATCTGTATAACAATTTTGCACAGATGTGTGTGTGTGAGTATATCTATAGATGGATAGGTAGGTTTATATATATGTATACAGTGCTGCAGTATAAGTTGGCACTCTATAATTATATATATATTTATTATATGTGTGTGTGTATATATAGTGTTCAAGTAGAGATTGTAGTCATATTAGTCCAGTGAAAGATGTAAAAACCAGATAAAACTCATATCTTGTAATACCTTTTTTATTGAACTAACAGAATTTTGTAATGACACGCTTTCTGAAGAACCTCCTCAAATCTAAAGCATTTCTGGGCATTTGAGATATATATATATATATATATATATATATATATATATATATATATATATATATATATATATATATATATATATATATATATATATATATATATATATATATATCAAGGATTTTTATACTGCCAACTTATACTACAGCACTGTACAAATAACAGAACCGTAGGTGAAGACAAAACAAGCTTACTATATATGTATATTTAGACTTATTTTAACCCCTTAAGGACCAAACTTTTGAAATAAAAGGGAATCATGACATGTCACACATGTCATGTGTCCTTAAGGGGTTAAATACATATATACTAACAATACATCAATAAAGTTTTTCCAAATCCTGTAATGCACAGTTAAAGATCATTGCAATTTTAGTTATTAAAAACTATTATGACTAACAGTGAGTGGCACTGTATTTTGGCGTTCACAATCTCCGAGCATGCATGTCCCTGCCCACCTAAAATTATTGTCCGTTTCACTCCCAGACAGCAGCTGCTATGTATGACTGCTGGCATTCAGTTGGCCCAAACAAAACACCTCATGACTATTATGTTCCATTACAGAATGCAGTTGCTTAGAACGTTCATAATACAACTTGCATTCGATACTGTATAGACCTTAAACCTTTGTTGTTTTCATTGTTTCCAGGAAGAGCTGCTTCCATGACAAACGGCTCTATCAGATCACCGGTTTCAAACGGCACATTTAATTTTGATGGTCATAGCATGAAAAGTGATGCTCACGTGTATCACACTGTTCACAAGGACTCTGGGCTTTACAAGGACCTTCTGCACAAAATACACCTCGACAGAGTAACGGATGACCGCCCCTCACATGACAATAACTACCGGGTACTGAGGCGCAACAACAGTTACACCTGTTACACAGCTGCTATTTGTGGCATGCCAGTGCACTCAACCTTCAAAGCGGTTGATCCGGCCACCCCGGAGGATAGTGAAAAGCTGGTGGGAGACACTGTGTCCTACTCCAAGAAACGGATACGGTATGACAGCTACTCAAGCTATTGCAATGCAGTTGCAGAGGCAGAGATTGAAGCTGATGAAGGTGCTGTGGAGATGAAGCTTGCTACTGAACTGGGTGACTCAAATCCACTCCCGGATGATGCGTTGGAGGAGGACAAAGAGGAAAAAGACCAGTCACAAGTCCATCTCCTCTTCCATTTTCTCCAGATTCTGACAGCCTGCTTTGGATCCTTTGCTCATGGAGGAAATGATGTCAGGTTAGATATGTTCATGCCGTCAAGCAGTGATGGCTTATTTACTCGTTTACGTATATTATGTACGTATATTGCTCTGCTGCCCCTAGTGGTAACCTGAAATTCTCTTTGGAAATTATTTGTCAATGCATTATTAGAAGCTGTTGATAGGTCTTACAATTAAATTATCCAACAGTTGAAGTTATTTTCTTAGCATATTTGGATATAAGCTGCTGATCTTAAAATGTATATGATCTTAAAGATCTACTCCAACCAAAAACCATAGAGGACGGACTGGGTAGGGGGAGAGGGGGATTCAATGCTGCACCACCATTGGCTATCTGGCACCAGCATGCTGTGCATTCTGGCATCAGACACCAACTCTGCACAGAATTGATATTAGCCAGCCTGGAACTTTTTTTTCTGGGCCGGCTAATGACGCTGCTGGAGGTTGGGTCACACCTATTTGCAGCATTTCATAAGGAAAATGCTACGCATACAGAATGCAGGCTTCAAATCACTTAAAGTGTTTATGGTGTTTGGAGTAACCCTTTTAAATCAAGCATGTCAACCTCAAAGGCTAAAAAAAAGTTTGACGTAGACCAACACAAAACTTAAATTACTTGTATCATTCTCATGCAAACAATATGTAATCGCGAGTTTGACATCCTTGCTTCAAATGCACATTGCTGCACATTTAATAGAATGCAAAATATAGAGCTCTTGGGTGACAACTTTCAAAAACATATAGCCTCTGATAAAGTTGTAATTTTTTCACACGGGGACCTTCAGAAAACAATGCTGGATATGTTTTATTTATTTATTACTGGCATTTATAAAGCGCCAACATGTTCCACTGCGCTGTTCAATTAGTGGAGAAAGTATACCATACACAGACAAATACAAAAGGTAAAGAGGAACCTGCCTGTACGCTGAGATCTAGCCATTGAAGCGCTTTTATGCAAAGTGCTTAGAATATTGAGGCTAACTCCTGTATCGACCCAGTTTCAGCTTCTGAGCAATCACTCATGACACAACTAGGTAAAGCTCTAAAGGAGGTCAGTGAATGTGCCAAGAACTCAGATCCTGTTTCCACCAAGTATCCAGTGTATTTAGTTATCAATTTTTGAACCTAAAACCAGTCTTACATGCAGTCAGCCATTGCTGGGTATTAAGTAGCAGAAGGTTAAAACTCTGAGATTAATAATCATACTAATAAAATGCATTGAGCAGAGGCACAAAGCCTTTCTTATCCTCCTGTGACGTATTTGTTAATTTTGTTTGATTCTTCTCTGTATGGAAGCCCATTCTAAGCACAGTCACTTGAATTGGATTTGGTCACCACCAAGCATTTTATAGCATTAAATGTAGCTTTGGAAATTTCCTATAGGTTGTGTACATTTCAAACTGTGTAAAAGTTTTGGTAATACAGTTATTTTTTTAGAACCTCTCCAAATCCCTGCCTTATAATGTCTTAAGCCTTTCCTTGGGAAATGCTGCATGTTAACGTATTCACATTTCTTATTTGTCTTCCCCAAGTTACCGGAACACTTTGTTCTTCAAACTGGTAAATAAATTAAATTTGTTTTTGTTTCACTCTCTCTCGCACAGTAATGCTATTGGTCCATTGGTTGCACTTTGGCTAATTTACCAGCAAGGTGGAGTTATGCAAGATGCTACAACGCCTGTGTGGCTGCTGTTGTATGGTGGCGTGGGCATCTGTGCTGGTCTGTGGGTGTGGGGTCGGCGAGTAATCCAAACTATGGGAAAAGACCTTACCCCGATTACACCATCCAGGTAAAGTAAAATATAAGTGTATTGATTAGTTGGGACTGACAGCATTTTTAGAAGTTTAGACCACCTGTTTGTATAGAACAAGTGCATATATATACGTTGGACACCAGTACTAAAATGTTTTGAAATAAGTCCGCAAGTAGCCAGGTTTAAGGTGGACTTGCCAATGTTTTTTTGGCAGTTTTGGTAAAATACTCAATTTTTGTAAACTAAGAAAGAAAAAAAAAGATTACGGTTCAATAATATCCGGGTGTCAACAGCTGACGAACTGTCCTTTACATTGCTACCTTCCAGTTAAATGGTGATTAGGACACTATATAGTGGTAGGAATACACTTTTGTATTCTTAATGCTGTTATGTTGCTTTAATTGTAACTTTTAAATAATGCGTTAAAAATGGCAATTGATAGAGGTTTTAGTGAAGGGTTATGTTTTTACACTTAAGAATTTGTTTTCTATACAATGTGCTGCGGATCGATTCTGTCTGTTGCTGAAAACTACATACAGTCTTATGCAATACTAAGGCTGCAATTTCAGTGCTCAGAATTTTAAGTGAAATCTATTTTCTTTTGTTCGTGCATACATTGTTTTCTGCATACATTTTTGTGCACGCAAGGATTGGTAGATTGTAGTATTCTTGTCAACGGGCTAAAAAACTCTTGAATGTTATAATGTCTATTGCCATGTAGAAACACTTTTTGAACTTGAGATCTATTACAAGGGATGACAGTTGTTTATAAAACCCTTAGATACCTCTTTATAAAGCTTAAATAAGTGAAGAATCAAATGTAAGATAAAGGGATTTAGAATTGCAATTTACTTGTGTTCTGCAATGTATTTTTATATTTTATGACTTTTATTTGTACATTTAACAATTACAGATACAATATTTACTTGTTCTCAAACTACAACATCCATGATCCCTACTCTGAGAGTGCTTTCAATAATAAAAAGCTTTAGAGACCTGGTTTCCCCTTCCCATGCACCATATATAGTTTCCTTTTGTCCAATGTCTGAAAACTGTTTATAAATTTAAATATGCTGTAAAATCTTGTACAAATTTAAAATCAATGTTCCATAGTACATTTGTCATAAAGCAAGAAATGAATAATAAAGTGCTCTCTATCCGTTACTGAACCAGACCATTAAAAAGTATTTTTAGCAGTAAGAAAAAATTGTCTCTCTGCTAGCAGAGCGACCGTGATTAAAATTAAATTGTGACTGTAAAGTGTTTTCTTATGCTCCCTGCAGTGGATTCACTATTGAGTTGGCTTCAGCGTTCACAGTTGTGGTAGCTTCCAATATTGGACTCCCTATCAGTACCACACACTGCAAGGTATGGCTTTGCCAGGAGACTGCAGCGGGGGTAGCCTTGACTATCCACGTTGTTTTTCTGCAGTTAAGATCCATGTTTAGTGGCATGAGAGCATCTAGCAGAGACAAGTCTGAAAGCTTCACGCAATTGGTTCCCAAGGTTAATGCTTCAAATCTTTTCTTATCTGCAATAGCCATTTTAGATTTATGCCAGTCTTTATGTTGTGTTTAATTTGTACTATGTAGCAAAAATCTTAAATGGCTATAATAAAGATCCTTATTACTCTTTGAGGACCATTTTTGGTGTCATGCTACTTGTGCCACTAAACTGATCTAGGAAGTTCACCTACTGCTGCTTCCTGCCTCATCATATACCATTCACTTCTTCTGATGCATGCATGCATGGCATATGGTCTCCTACATACACCTCAAACTGTGTCTTCTCTTTTTTTTTTTCATGTTATTACTTTTCTTCTTCTTCACAGTGGATTTTGCATTGAAGTTACGTGTGCAATAACTGTATTAGTAGCCTCTAATGTGGGTATACCCATAAGCTCAACTCATTGCAAGGTATTGGGGTTTGTAGTGCCCTCAAAATTAAAAACAAAAAAAATCACATCATTTTTTATTCTTTTATTTTTATTTTTTTGCCTTCAACTGAAAATTAAAGAAACTGCTGATTATTGCAATTGCCTTCAATAAATATTCCCTCTCTGTAAAGAAATAGTCACGCACAAATACAAAAACAAACATTAAAACTCTGTGATAGCTTACATAAGAGCGTAATAATTCTAACAAGCGTGCTTAACCGTAACTTGAATTTGACATGTCTTTCAAAGCATTTTTTTTCTCCACATAATGAATGCCTGATATGACTTTTGTGACTGGCCAATTTTAGAATTTTCATCTATTTTTTTTTTATTTTGTTATTTTTAGGTTGAGGGAATTTGTAGGGTGTTTTGAAGGCAAACTGCACACATCATTAGTTAAAATCAGGGATGGCCAACAGAGGCGGCTCTCTTGCCATTGTGGAACTAGAGCGTCCACAAATTCTTGTCGAGCTGATTTATTTTCCCGTTGGCCACCAATGGTTTTTTTTTTAGTAAATTATCGATGCTTACAAATTATTTCTAACTTGCTTTATTTTCTAACTACTTCTCTTCTTTTTCATAACTAACTACTAATAACTTAATGTATACTTAACATTGGTCATAACTCTAGCAAGCTCCTTTTTATGTGTATTACAGATCTGTAGCCCATTACTTATATGATGTTAATCACTTTCATTAAAATAAACAATCTACTAGTTTAAAAATGATTTCAATGCTGAAAAAGGAAGCTGTAGCAAAAATACAAGTTTATTCTATGTAGTAATATTTTTTTTCCAAAGCTTTTATATTCTGAGAGAATATTGATATTTTGTTTATTTTTCAGCAGGCTGGGGAGACTTTTTCCACTGCACTTTTTACTGTAACATGCATTTCATGAGAGAGTCTGTTTAGTACTTTCTAAATCCCAATTGAACACGTTACTGAGACATTCCTCCTAACAATTCAAATGGACAAAGAGGCACGTGTTAATTTTAATGGTGTGTGGATGGGGGTGCTGCCAGTGGCAAGGCTGTTCTGAGACATTTTAGGCAATTTACTCATAACAATTTATACAACTAAAATATAATTTAGGACAAGAACAATGTGTCTTATTTACACAGTCTGATGTCTAAACACGGTTATTGAAGTTTTAAGATACATTACTGTGAAAAGTATTTCTCTGGAGCTCTGTTATACACAGATACAACAATAACATGGAATTTCTAGAAAAGAGGAACAGAGGGATTTGGGGCCAAATATATATATATATATATATATATATATATATATAATTTACCTATTAACTAGGCACACATGGGAAATATGCAGAGGGTATTGGAATAAATGGGGAAAAACCTTGTTGGCCAATGACAACCTTTTCTATTGAATGGGTTTGTTTCAGAACATGTTCAGACAAGTTTTAGGATTTGCTACAAATGTGCAGTAGAAAGGTAGGTTATTTGCCTGGAGCTATTCCTCAAAGCCGTCGCCATCTTGTTCCTGGGGACTTCTACAGCTCCTGACAAATTCTCTGCCATTAGGTGCTTCGGTGCTGTACTCTTACTCATACAAGAGAGTAGAACACGGAGGTCTATGAAAGATCACATCTCGCAATGAGCAATACAATACCTGAATCCAAAAACCACCACTTGCAACGTTTGCTGGGACTGGATAAAAGTTGACGGTGGAGCTCTTCCCTTTGTCAACTTTTGTTAACCTCAGTCTTGCCCATAAGACAAAGTTTCTTTGGATTCTGTTGGAATTTCACTGAGATTCCATCTCTGATTGTATTTTTATAAAATAGAAGTGACAGACCTACTTTGAAGGGACACTTTCTAAGCACTGGAACCACTACAGCTTAATATAATGGTTTTGGTGTGAGAAGACTTTTCCTGCAAATTTTTTGAGAACTAATGAGTAGAGGTTGGCATTGCTATATATAATAGCAACTTGTATTTTGGCTACACTTTTAAAGTGCATCTGTCATCCCAAACCCATAATTTTATTTAAATTATTTTTATTTTTTTGTATTTGGAGTGAATGTTTGCAGAGAAAAACTACACTTGTTCATCCTTGTTGCCACTGCTTACACATACAAATATTTTTTGATATGCATGAAAAGTGGCACATTTATTTTTATTATCACTTAACGTGCTTTCTTATCAGCCTCAACATCTGTTTTTTATTGATAGTGTTATATAGTGTACAAATTTCCCTCAGACTCCAAATCAGAAATCCTTTATGATCAATTTCCCCATGTAGGCTTCCAGTTCTTTAACATTTTGTGGTTTTCTCTCTGCTAACATTCCAAAAAAAAAAAAAAACGTGGGTGACATATTCACTTTAGGTTGTTTGACATAGTAACAAATCTAATTTTCTTGCGTTATGTGATTCTTGTCTTACACATTTTTTTTTTATTTTTTTTTTAAAATTTTCCCCCTGCTCTCTGAAGGTTGGATCAGTGGTATCGGTGGGTTGGATTCGATCACGGAAAGCAGTTGACTGGCATTTATTCCGCAACATTTTCCTTGCTTGGTTCGTGACGGTGCCTGTTGCCGGCCTATTCAGCGCAGCAGTCATGGCTATAATGCAGTATGGCATTCTCCCATACGTTTGACCGTACTACCTAGACTTAGAAAAATAAAAGCCTATTTCAATGTTCATGCATACTGGAAACATCCTAGGCTATAGCAATATTTCAGGCTGCCCGCTTTGGTTGAGGAGGAACATAAAACGGAAAAAAAAACCCTTATCAAAGCATCATGTCCTTGATGTATCTACTCTATCTGCTGTATATAATATATGTCAAATTGGTGGGATGTGCCTCAATACTTATATTTAAATAAATATATATATACGTATAGTAGATAACACTACCAGAGTATTATAATTTGGGATGAGAATATTTGCATAGATCTTTTTTTATCTAGATAAGAGCTGTACATAATGTATTATTTTTGTGAGCTTTTCTCTTTTTTTTTTTTGTTCTTTTTGTAATCTTTAAAAACAAAACAAAAACAAATGGTATAGTTTTTAAATAAAAATGCCCATGTCTACTTGATATCAAACGAGGTACAAAAGACAAAGCTTAAATTTTGTAAAGATGTATTTAGGTCTGTGACGGTCAGTCTGTGTGCAGCGAACTACAATACTGGAACAAATTTAAAAAAAATCAAATATGTGCAGAATTACTTTTATGGAAAAAAAAAAATTTGACATCTAACTAGCTTTGTATGTATAATACTGTAATTTCTAACTGTAAATATGTATAAGCATATTTTTTATTAGTGCATTAATTTCCCTTTTTACATTTTTGGGTAAGGAAGTTTAGGAAGTACCAAAGACTGAGTGGAATTCGCCTGCCAGTATTTAAACAAAGTCTGCTCTTAGTCGTATGTTATGGTTTGAGGAATCTTTAAGTGGTCCGAACAGCCAAAAAGTCATGGATCACGACGAGTGTGTTTCCACACCATGGGTTGAATTCTGCTAAACAATTTGCAAATGATTGTTTTACAGCCACAAGTGTCGTTCCACTTGTAACTTCTAACGCACATAAAACGGTCTTTACTGCAGTTAACACTTTTTGTTTGGAAATATAATTTTTTTTTTTCACATATGTAAAGTTACTTAATGTAATCACTGGAATTCTACAGCAATACAATTTGAATATTTATTAAGGCATTAGCAGGTAAAGTATGCAGTCAGCATAGAGACCTATTAATATCTAGCTCCTTACCATTGGGTGCTTAAAGGGACACTACCATGAAAATATATAATCAATAGTTAGCTTGTTGCTGTGTGTAGCAGGTAATCAGGGTCCGATTAGCAATATCTCTTTGGTAAACTGTTTTATATTGGTGTTTTTGAACCGCTTTTCAACTATGTCATACTAGTGACAGAATATTCTACAGAAAGTACACTCAATATTGATCTTTTATTTCAAATGGGACATATCGAATTTCCACCAAACACGAACTTTTTAATTGAATGCAACAAGTGCAACAAATAAATCTGTCAGTTGAGTTATTTGTATTGGTTTCAGTGTAGAAATGTATTAAATTAGATATATATATATATAATTTTTAGCAGTGAGGAAGCAGACAAAAATACCGTAAACCGTTATCAGGTTACTACTGAAGTGGAGTAAATCTAATTAAATCATAAAGTATTTTCTGCTCAGTGTTATAGAATGTTAGAATGCATCGCTTTTTTTTTTTATGGTAGTGTCCATTCAAAATAAACTACTAAGATGTGATGACAGCCTAATCGCGAAATTTCTTTCACCATTAGTTCACCGTAGAGACTGCAATGTAGTGTATTTTTTTTGATTTTGGTCATGTCTTTAGTGTAATTTATAAAGAGACTATTGGAATTTGCAATCTCTGTACCATTCAATATCAGTAGAACACCAGTCCAAGCCTAGTCAATTTACTATAAACTGTACATGTTTACAATGAGAGATGAATTGTTTAAGGATATTAAAAGTTTACTCCTAATGTTATCACCAGCAAACAAGTTTATTCTGTGAAATCTCAAAGCCAGGTGAATTGATCTGAAAATATAGTGTAACAGAACTTATTTAAAACTGTTATTTTTTGCAAAACACTTTCCAAATTCATTGAATTCTTTTAAGAAAGAAATTGAGTCAGCAACTAAATTTTATAACATAGAAAAAGTACTACCTTAGGTGTCCAGTTTGCACTGAAATATCTAATATACCTAGATCAGTGTGCTTGATTCTCCTCTATTTAAGAGGTAAACGTCAACTCTTTTACAAATACAATTACATTTTACATTATAACTCTCTTGTATACAATAATTGCAGAATTTGTACAGTGTTCTTCTCAAACATTTTACAGTGTATGTACAAAGCAGTGTATGTACAAAGGTGCACCATATTTTAACCTAAAACTAGTTCTAAGTTGTCAAATAATTGAATAAGTACAACAAACTATTTTTTACAAATTGCCCAACGTGGAAGTACATTTAAAATTATTTGTGTGTGTGTATGGGAGAGAGAGAGAAACACTATGTATGCGCACACATGTACATACTAAATATATAAAGAATGTAAAAGATGAAAATATTTCAAAGGTTTCATGTGAGAATAAATATACAGGTGACACTAGTGAGATTTTCACAGTGTAGCACTTACGAACATACATTTCTTTTTTTTGTTTTGTTTTGCATAGTACTGTAATGTGTTCTGTTTTTTAAGTGGGACAAATAAAGTTTTTACAAATGCTGCCATTATGATGTTCTCGTGGGTTGTCTTCCATTGTGAAGGTGACCTTCAAAACCTGAAGATCTTGTTAAAATGCAGATGCTGCTATAAATAATTTTTTTTTTTTTCCTCTCTTTCTCCTTGATGAAACCTGTTCTTGGTACATGTAGGTATACATAAATGTAGGGGGTTATTTATTTTTCTTTTTTTTTCTTGAGGGCTTTAACTTTCATTAAGCTACGTTATTTGTGGTCTGTTACTTCAGTTTGATTGTGTCTTTATATTCACCCATAATGCACTGCTTTTCATCGGGGCGTTCCAATATTAAAGCTAGCTAGGATGTTGTGTTGTTTTATCATTGTTATTTTTTTATTTTTTTTATGTCCGCTATGCGAGTATGTTTCGATTTATGGGCTTCAGGTTTTTTATTTAAAAAAAAAAAAAAAGTTAACACAAACTTTCCTGTATTTCAGTGCCAAAACAGACTTCTCACTTCAGCCCAATCCTTTTGATGTATTTTGTCCAATCAAATGTTTCTCATAGGGAAGCTATGAAGACGTACAGAACATGTGCCGCATTTTGTACAATCTTCCAATCTAGTGCTGATCTACGAGAGGGAGAAGCATTGGAAGCACACCCAGCATTTGGTGTCAGCATACTTTGCACGCTGATGCCAGATGTAAAACAGATTTAATTAATTAAATCTGTTTTTGTGTGACGCCTTTAGGGGCTGTCTGACAGCTAATAGAGGTGTGGACTCTGCAAAATGTAAACACTGCTGTTTTCCAGAAATGGCAGTTTTTGCAGCATCTATGCCCATATATCATGTAATTATCCTTTCTGTTTTGCAGAAAACCTGCATAGCTATTTTGTTAACCCACTCTAGATTATCTTCCAGGGTTAGTATTAAAATGGCAAACAATAGAATTACAAAGTTTTAAAGACAAAAGCATCAGCCTTGGGATTTTAGCACTGCCAAAACTCGGGGCAAGGTGTTTACAGACAGATTCATGTGCAAACAACCTGCCTTATATAAAGCACTTAACATCCCACAATGATCACTGCGTGGCTGGCAAGGATAGACATTGTCAGCCCCTTGAGGCGTGGAGCTTGCTCTCCACGCTGGAATTCAAAGCCAATTTTCCATTAAAGGAACACACCAGGCACTAAGACCACTTCTGCCCATTGAATTGGTCTGTGTGCCAACTCCCACCACCCTTAACACTGCAAGTGTAATTGCCATTTCTATAAACTATCAGACCACTAGAGGGACTTCAGTGTTCTTAGAACAATAAAAGTGTTTTAAACGACGCTGGACGCTATGCATGAGCACTTCCAGCATCGTCGAATCCCCATAGGAAAGCATTGAATAATGATTTCCTATGTGGAGGTCTAATGCATGTGTGCGCGGCCATTGCCGCGCATGCGCATTAGGTCTCCCCCGCTGGCTGACAGCGGGTGGAGGAGCGTGGGCAGAGCCTGACCCAGCGCCGAGTGACATCGGCGCTGGATTCTGGTAAGTTACTGGAGGGGTTTTAACCCCATCAGCAACATGGGATGGGGGTGGGAGGGAGAGGGGCACTGCAGGGTCCCGCAGTGCCAGGAAAATGGATAACGGATTTTGCTTTGTATGTTATTGGACTTTCTTCAGCACAGTGGAGAGATCAAAGTTATTGAGCTACCTGAAAGGGACGTTGTCATCCAAGAATTGTATCTAGTAGATTCCCTTAAATCATAATGGGAAATCTATTAAGGAGCTAAACTACAGCCAAAATGGCCAGGGTTTGTATCAGGTTTATTGAAGGTTTTTTTTTTGTTTTGTTTTTTTGTGTATTGTATGCAAATGTGCATTGAACTAGACTAAGTAACTCTGAAATTATTTCTCACTACAAGTTGACCCTTAAAAAGTTCTTAGTAAAAAAAACAAAAAAAACCCTATTGTGCTACATTTGGGCTAATACATTTTTAAAAAAAAGACTTTAACAACTAGTTCCCTTATTTTAGACATTTGTTGAGTGCATTGCCCATTTCTTCTTGACTTTTGATGTAAGTTAAATCCGTAGTCTATCTTCCAAAAACATAAAATAAAAAAATGTACACAAGCCTACACATTTAGGTTTTGTTTTTTTGTATCTACCTTGTGCAGTGTAGCTTTTCTTTATTTACCATGTAGTAACTGGATGTTACTCTAAATAGTCAACTGCAGGAACCTTGTTGGCCTAAGTCTATTTTTGTCTATGCTTTGCATTCTCAGTGGTGTTTGTCATGTGAGTTATATTCGATCCAGTGAGTAGTTGACCTTTGTAAATTGAATTGTGCCATAAAGCAGGCTATGCTACACTTAAACCAGCACGGATTCAAAATTGTATAATACAGAGCAGATATTGTGTACT